CTCTGATGATACATGTAACAGTTTTGACATTAAATACTGCACAAAGTAGTGGTAGACCACTATAAAAATACCAGATTTCTTGATATTTCCTCTAGAAAAGGAAAACCAGTTTTAAAATATAACACTGATTTATGCTTTGTATCTAAAAATACAGCTAGTGGGTAAAATTTGTAGGAACCATGCCAGTGATTTGTAGCACGTATATGATTAGTTACAGCATGCAATCAAAATCTTTCTGAACAGGAGAAAAACTATCTAACTCACTTTAGTTAACTTCTTAATAAACTTCTCAGCAATTGGTCTCTGGACTTTTCACAGCCATAAATATTTGTAAAACAAGAGGAATACAAGAACATATTTTGAGTTAAACTTCTAACTGGCATGCCTATAATTAGAAATATATCAAGCAAAATTTATTTCTGAAAAGATAATTTTTTGAGGTTTTCTAATCAGTTTGAAATAAAACTATGCAGGAAATCTAAGCAGAGAGAATAAAACCAGGAATTAAACCTGGATCCAGTACTACATGACTTCAGTCTCTCAAGAGGGTACTGGCAGTTAGTAAGGCTCCATTAAATGCTGTAAGGCGAGTGTGTGGTTAAGGGCTTTCCTAATGGGGTTCCTAGAAGTTTGAAGCATTTCAAACTGTAAATATTTTTGACCCGGTATAAGGCTTGACACACCTGAGAATGGTTAAACAACTGTACAGACACATTTACAGTGTTTAGAATCTGCAGGGCTTAGTCTAGACAAAAGGTGTTGATGACATATATCACTGTATGACTTACATGACTGACTTATATCAGTGTAAAATATGCCAAGGATTAATATTATGTAATTTCTCTTTTTCTGTGCTTAGATTTTTTTTTTTTTTTTTTTTTTTTTTTTTTTTTTTTTATTGCAACCCTTCCAGTTATCTCACAGGGATTTTGGTTGGGAGTTTTTATCATATGTTCTAGCTGATATTTTGAAAGAAATGGTTGATACTTTTCCAGGGCAAAGAGACAGGATGAAGTTTACTGCAGGAAAGATGTGCAAGGATGAAAGAAAGCTGGAGTCTGAAGGGAATAAGAGACAGGACAGAGGTCAGGAATGAGCATCTTCGTTGTGGCCACATGCCTTAAGCTTTGTGTCATGGCTGGTGCAGTCTGTTCTGGTAACAGTGCAGCACAAGCTTTCTTATCCAACCACGTCTCTTCTGCTTGGGGTTTGATCCAATGTGGAATCTAAGCAAAAGCAATTCTCTGTCTCCTAAACTTTGAGGAGATGTTTTTGCATGGAAACTTTCTTTGAAAACCTCCTAGTATGTGGAAAAGTAGATTTCTCAGTCTTGTGGGCACAGATTGCTAGGACCAGGATCCAGATAATTCATTTGGGCAGTGACTGTGTGTAAAGTGTTCTGAGGGCTGCAGAAGAACAGGCTAAAGCAGGAATAAGCTGAGTCTTTGCCTCCACTTAGGATGTGCCTGCGTGCTGTGAGTCACTGACTGTGTGAGACAAGAGCTATTTTGGCATAAAATGTTTATTCTCGTCCAGAACATGAATCACCTGCTTCTGAGTGTATCTTTTTTTTTTTTTTTTTGTTAATTTGTATTAAGTAAACAGATTTCAGAGGCTTCAATACATCCAAATATGTGGGTTTTACTGGCACAGTGGAGGACCCTCCAAGCAAAGGAAACTCACTCACCTGTTGAGGCCAGTATTTTTTATACTTTTCCCAGAAGCATGTCTGAGTAATCAGAGCAATGGCAGAAACACTGTCCTGCTGCAAACCTATTCCCAGGAGTATCGCCAGGTAAAGACACTAATGAAGTCCAATTTGCCAAGACATCTTTATTCGCATTTTACTTATGTTAGTCTTTTTACTTTGTCAGCTTCTACCTTTGAAGGAAGAAAGTCTTGTTCAGTTAAAATCTGGAAAAGGAGAAAGAAGTTGATCAGATGTGCTGTCTCTGAAAACACTGCACTTGGGCCAGAAGTTGTCCTGGTGACAGACAAGCTCCAATTTATAGTTTTCTCTTTAACGTAACTGCTATAAAAAATTGAGCAGATCTGTGGCACTGTAGAGGTGCAGTCTGGGAGAGAGCTGGCAGAAGACCATGAGAGCCTTCAAATTCCTTGTTTCCTTATGGATGGTGCCATAGAGATCTTTATGAACCTTCACATGAGATACAATATGTCTTAAAACCACAATTAGTTTGTTTGAACTTGTTTTTTTCTTGTTCTTGGCAGGCAGGGGAGGCTAATCTGTTTAGGTGCGATCATTTAATTTTTTTGTTTTACTTTTATATGTATAAAGAGACTATGTGATACATAATTTACAGGTTTTGGTATAGATCATAGCAGAAAATAAAAGCAATGGGAGCCACATTAGGTATATCAATAGTCCCCTCTTGGCACTGACATGTATTTGATGCGCTGTATGTAGGTATTTCAGATGGCAAAGGCCTGTTGCCACACCTTTTTCTTTGATTCTCACCAGGCAGTAAGACTTCAGACTTTTTTTCCAGCTCTTGTTAGTAAAAGTTATGTTAGTGTCAACATGAGCTCAAGTGGCTACCAGATTTTGGGTTATTCATTACCTATTGATCACCTTGGTTCTGAGACGAATAGTTCACAAGGCAAGATGAATACCATAAGTCTGTTAGGGAAGGAAGGAAGGATGGAAGAGCTGGCTGGGCTGGGTGATCCCAGTCTGAAACAGGTAATCCTGCGGGAGCTTTGCCCATGCCATGGCTCCTTGGCTCATTCCTTTGATCTGACATCTGAGACAGCAGAGGCAAACAAAATACCAAGTCCAAATGTGCAGTATGTGCTATCAGCACCCAGGCCTCATTGTCAAAGGCTGTGTCAAGTTATCTTCTGAGGCAGGTGGTCTAGTGGACAGGGTATCCACCACTGAATTACAGTAGCTTGTGACCAACAGCTTAAATGCTGCAATCAGGCAGACTCCTTTCCCATTTTGCAATTACATGGGGAAAAAAAACACCTAAAAAATAATTCGCTTGACATTTTTTATTGCATCACATTTGCCTTTAACTTGAGTATTCCCTGAAGTTGATGACTTCAACACCTTTGTCACTTGGACTTTAAAATAATCAGATTCATATTTCTAGTCCAAAACATAACATAATTGTCTCAGAAGATAAAACAATAAGTAGCTAACTGTGCCTTTCATTTATTTGCCACAACTCTGGCCTTCTGTCTTCTCTTTTAAGAATGCGTTTGGGAAAGATTCTGGAAGATAATTCTTATAGCTTTTTTTCACTTGCTAAACAAAATACAAACTTTTATTTTTCCTTTTTTGCCTTCTTGTCCTGGTATCTGCTCATCCATAATTAAATATAGAATACATTAGTAGTTATTCTATATTGTTATTTAATCTTTTGTTGGGTCAAGTGCCTTCTTTTTCTTCTGGTGTCTTTTGAAGATACTTCTCTGTTGTAAAGTAGTGAGAATATTGTGCGTATTTTTCATACTAAATAAATTTGAACTTTTTGCAGGGTTGAAATTGTATGATTTGTTTTACAGTCTCGTATAATTATTGTGGTAAGATTTAGTCACTGGAGCTAATCATTAAGTGGCTTGTTGTTGCAGCTGGTTGATAAGTTTTAATTAATGTCATTAAAATCTCCCTACTATTTCTTATTTCTCTGACTGACCTGACTTTCCCATTATATGACTAAGGAAAAGAGGGTGGTGCTACAATGCAAGCCAGTTATTTGTTTTTCTATGAAAAGATTTCTAGAGAGAAAGAGGTCAGGGAGAGAATTCTTAAAATGACCTGATGTTACTGCATGATGTCCAGTAATTAGTTTTTCTATCATTAATAGCTTTTGCACATGTGTAAGCAGGACTATTTGTGTTGAAACTTCTTTTGTTTTCTCCAAATATTCAAATTTTTAATCACTGAGACTTAACTAAGATCATAAAAATCACTGGCAGAAAGTTGCTTTGATTTAGGGGATGTATAATTTTTTAATTAAAAGTTACAGATTTATCATTAATAATACTCTGATGGGATATCAACTTCAATCAGCTCTCCTATTCTTGAAATTTGGCACTCCTTGAAGGATGGAAAAGTTTTTGGGAAACCTATCTTTTTCTTAAATTTCAGATTTAAATTTCAGAACAGCAGATTTTAAAAGTTCTGAAGTATGAGTTCTGAATTTGTTTGCAGAAAATAAGATGTTTCTTAATTTACTCAAAGTAGTAGCTTTCTTTTGTATTATGTATCAAAATAGTTTTACAGTAGAAATTGTGAGGATTGGCTGCACATGATGGGAAAAACAAAGAGGAGTGCGAAAGGAAAAAGGCAGGATAACTTTTAAATGAGACAAGCTTAAATATTCAGACACATCAAAATATTATTGGAAACAGACTTTTGGACCAATTTCATTTTGCAACCACACATATGCTTTTCCATCATCTTCGTATTTTAGGAGAGTGGGTGGAAAATAAGCGTATTAGTCTTAAATGCAAAGAATAGGACTATGTCTTTATCACATTTTTTATACTCATCTATGTCCTCTGCAGTGGGGAGTGGGGGGGGGAGGGGGATTTGATATTTAGATTTTGGGGGATTTTTTGCTTGTTGAATGTGAGGGGAGGTGTTTGGGATTTTTGTTGTTTGTTTGGGTTTTTGTGATTTTGGTTTGTTTGTTTGTTTGCTTATTGAGCTCTTTTTTGTAAAAACTGGCAGATACACTTAGAAAACTTAGGGAGGATTATTTTGTATAGTATATTTACTGTGGGAAACCATATAAGTCTGTTGTATGGGTTTGTTATTTATGGGAAAAATCCTGCTTACTATTGCTTTTAATAATTGAAGCAGTTCTCCTACTATCTTTATTTCCACTTAAGAATTAAACCCTAAAAATACTGGATCCAGCAAAAGTGGTTTACTAGTGAGGCATATTTTGGCACCTGTTACTTCTTTTAATTTAAGTTAGCTGTGATGTTTAGTCAAATATTTTACTTGGGAATGTTTTGTTTTTCAGGATGGGAAGAAGAAATTTGACAAGGAAAGTGAGAAATATTATTCGATCTTAGAGAAGCACTTAAATTTGTCAGCCAAGAAGAAAGAATCTCATTTGCAAGATGTAAGAACTAAGCACACTCTTACCTAATTTCACATTTGCATAGAAATCATGATAACAAACTGCTTCTCTTCAAGACATGCTGTATTTATTTAATGTGAAATTGTGATGGCTTCTGGTCATGCTTGTTCTGACTGTAAATTCTTGACTGAGATGAATATGACCCAAATAGGAGTTAAACATTTGAACAAAGCAATAGTCTATGTTTGCAAGTTTATGTATTTCATGTACAGCTAATGTTTATTAGTTGCAACAGTGGAATTACATTAGTACAATAAAAGTGTGTGTTTTATAACCTACATGTGGAATACTGGAAAGCAAATTAATTAATTGCTTTTAGATTTGCTATTTAATCTATTAACTGATTAAACTGTATTTCTATTTCACGTAAATTCTAATCCAAAAGACTGAACGAAATCACTTTAATGATGTGCTTTTCTGCTTCTTTTTTCCTCTTTTTCATCTTATTCTGAGATTGAGGCACCTGAAATTTCCCTGAAATTGTATCTATAACTTCAGCTTTGAAAAAAAAAAAAAAAAGAACACTTTTGGTTTAACAGGAGGATTCCAGGGCTTTTCAGTATGCTGATAGAAATTAATATGACTTGTTTTTGAAGGAACTTATAATAAACCCAGCAATATATCAATGACACTTTGGGAATTGTGCCAAAAGTCGTTAAAAATCATTTTGATTGGATTACTGTTGTCATTGTGAATCTTAAATCATGGAGGTTAGTTTGCAGATGGAATTTTCACCAAAGGTGTGACCATCACTTAATCATTTGTCATAGGATTCTTTTTTCATGTTTATAAATAATACTATAATTCAAATAAAATAAGGCTTAGAAATTAAAAATATCTAAAAAATGTCTATATGGCTGAATTGGTGTTGCAGTCAATATAATAATCAGTCTATTTAAGACCTTAGTTATGTAGGATTGGTTTATTGTTCCACTTGTATGTCAGGGCTTTCATTTTTCCCAAATATCTTATGTATTGATGAAGAAGCAGTTCTGTTAGCAGCTATGACCCAGCTTAAAAAAAACCCCGAAATTCTTACCAAACTGGGGAAAAGTGGACTTAAACACTAATTTGTTATAGAATAGAAGCAAAATAAAATAAATAAAACATTTTACTCTTGAGACACGAGAATAATTTCAGTTTAAAAGCAGCAGCTGAAGCGCAAAGTAACAACTGTGAATCTAATAAACTATGGTAGAATAACAGTGGATTTGGCTCACATCTATAAACTAATGGAAAACCAGGATAATTTTTTTCCAGTGTGTCCTTAAGTGACATATCTAGATTTAAAATCTCGTAACTGAGGCTGAGGTTTTCTGATTTCTTGATGCCTCCCTTGTAAAGGATAAAGGGCATAGCTTGGCATTTCTGTCTTCCCCAGTTTTCTACCACTGTAGATGTGCTGAATCAGCAACATAGACCCATCGTACGTAGCAGGTACAATAGCAAATCAGTACCAAAATTGTTAACCTGAGAGACTTTTGGCCTTTGTCTACATTGTAAGTAAAAGGAGGCCAAGCTCCATTCCTGACCTGAAATCTAAGACAGTTGTTGATTTGCACCCTGAGAGGTTTGGTTGAGCCCCATTTGTAGCCCAGGATGGAGTCTGTTGGAGCAGCCCACAGAAGAACAGGGCATGAGCAAAGAACCAAGCAGTGCTGGCAGCTGTGACTTTGGTGCCCAGGGCAGGAGATGGGAAGTCATGCCTCAAGCCAACATCATGTATTCAGAGAGGTGGAAATACTGGTTTTTGACTGTGACATGGGAAAAACGCTGTTTTCTTGAATTGATGAGGTTTCTTGATACATCACCACATTATGTGGGTTAAAGAGTGCTGGGGCGAGCAAAGATCTTGTAATCTGTTGGGTTCTTCTACATATCTCACTTGAGTACAATTGAGACCACCTTAATTAGGTATCTGAAGTTTGAAGGTTGAAACATATTCTGTAGAGAGTAGTTTGCATATATTCACCTAACTGAAATATGTTGGATATTTTAAGAGCCTACAAGAGCCTGGCTTTTTCCCTTTAGGATAAAAAAGCAACTTCATAGTAGCATCTCTTCACTGCCTACAGAAGCCTACAATAGAGGAGAAAATGGGCAGAATTGAGTGATGTGAGAAATGTAATGAACTTCTGATTGTATTTCTCTGAAATCTGTTCCAGAATCAGTCTCCAAGCTTATGTGAAGTTCTAGTATATATATTGAGGTGATAGCCTACATCAATGAAAATATTACTCACTATAATTGTATATCATACAGGTAGAGACTCAAAATCATATCCATCAAATCTCTATTTTTTACATGCAGTTTGAAGTCACAGAAAAACATGAAAATACTTTCAGCTTTTGAAACCCTAAGATCACTTTCAAAGCAATTCCTACAAATCTGAATCCTTTGGTGTTAACACAAATGCATAAGCTTCTGCAGGATATATTCCCTTTCACTGGTGGTGATTATGGCCCTAAATCATATTTGAGATGGGACTTGATTGTTGTATTATTATAACTGCAACCTTCTTAAATGCTGTTCAGAGTAGGGAGGGATTTAATTAGGCGTATAAATACTTTTTCTGAGGCAAAGCCTAAAAGAGACAATTTCTAATATTTCATTGTATACATGCAATTAAATGAGAGAGCTTAGATCTGTTTCAAGTGCTTATTTGATGGCATTTGTGTGAGCAAGGCATTGCTGGATCATGTCCCAAAGTGGTGGCAACTGCTTCTGTTCAGTTATGTAGCACTGTCTTTGTGATAGATTATTATTGTAAACTAAAGCTATCAGGGAAAGATATTAACAGACTATCAGGGAAAACACTAGCCAAACACACTATATGAATGGCAAATGGCAGAGTTAATTTTGAGGTAGAATGAGGTAGTTCATGAGGTAGTTCATTACTGGAATTTTGAGTGCTTGATTTCAGCTTCATATTATTAGTTTACTGATTTTTTTTTTAATAGACACAGGAAGGAAATGCTGGTACTGAGATATTTGAAACATATCTTTGAGGCCCGTGTTTTGAAGTAAGGTTAGAACACTGGCCTAGGGAGATGGCTCAATATTGTTAAAAACATGTACAGCCAAATCACAATAGTAGCTTGTCCTTGAGTAGAGAAGCAATCTTAATTATATATGGTGCTATTGATGGCCAAATCATGCCTGAAGGAAAACACTGACTTTTTGCTTTTTTACTGTTAAAAGTACTAAATCTCTTTTATGATGTGTTTGCCGGTTTATAGTTTGTTGTCAAGGGAAGACAACATCAAGCTTTCCCAATTTCTCTGCATCTGTTATTTTTAATGCCAGAATTAAACTAGAGAACATACAGAAGTATCCTCCTGTATTTTAACTGACATACATCAAAAATAGGTGAGGCAATCTCATTCATGTTGTTAATCTGCAGTAATATTTTGACCAAAGAGCAAAATCTAACTAATACAGCCCAAAAGGGATTTGCTTGAGAATATGATTTGTTATGAAGAAGAATGAATTAAAATGGAATCTGCATGTCTTCTCTAAACATTATCTACATGCTGCACTGCTTGTCTGTTAGTTCCCTCTCCTGTGGCTTGTTTAAATTGAGGATAAAAGCCTATTACTCTTTATCAGCTGATAAGAGTTAATTCTTGTGCTATTTAGGCAGAAGACACTGTTCTGATACTGGATCTTCATGTTGGGTGGTATTAGTCAGGCATTTCTGACAAGTATTGCCTTATAGTTCTGTCACTTGAAAATTAAAACTTGAAATATATTTGATTTACGAGGTTAGGAATTTGAATATATTTACATTCCAAGAACATATGACTCATACTATAAAATAATAAGTTCCAAGATGTCATTGTTAAAGACAGCCTATTTAAGACAGAAAATACGGTTTTGGGAAGTATTTGAACCTGAGAAATAGATACAATTTCCGTGCATATGATACTTAATTATTTCAGTATAAATAATTATCTTTTTGTCTGTCCTTGATTCCTATGCTGCTCATTTCTATTTGCTTTTCTAAACTTACATATACCAAGTACCTGCTGCCACCTTTCTTTCCCTCCAGGCTCTCCTAAAAACTAGAATATTAAAGAGCAAAAAGAAAGAAGAAACCAAAAAAGAGCAAGTAAAAGGCATAGGCTAAAATGTGTAATGTTAGCTTCTTAAACTTGCATTTAACTTTTTAAAGTAGGTATTCTAATTTTCAGAAAGAAAACTGAACTCTATGAAACTTTTACAGTAATCTTACGGAAGATCTGTTTGTTGATGACATAACCTGTTTTTAAAGCAATAAAAAGACTAAACTAATGTTGTCCGTATTTAATTTTGACTTTTAGGCAGATACACAGATTGACAGAGAACATCAAAACTTCTATGAAGCATCATTAGAATATGTTTTTAAAATCCAAGAAGTGCAAGAGAAAAAGAAATTTGAATTTGTAGAACCCGTAAGTTTTATGTTTTAATTTCTTTAGAATGTATGCATTTAAAGCTGAACATTGAATTCAAAATATCAGTTTTTTTGCTGCCTTTTTAAGTTTTGAATGCAGGTTCTTTGTATATAGACAGACATTAAGATCTTGGCTTGGGCACTTTCCATGTTTATTGAAGGATTATGTAAGAGTTTAGTATCTACTGTGAAGTGAAATGTCTGATGACTTGAAGTGTGTGTAACATTTTAATGGGACATCATGTAATGTTGTGTCTGTGCAACACATAATCGATGTTTCCTAATACCATGATTTAATGGCTTAAATTTTGAGCCAGTTTTTAAATTTAAATATTCTGGGTAGGCAGTATACACAGACATTGTTCTGAGTTACACATGAAGTAAAGAGAAAAATTAATTTTTCTGTAGGATAGGTAAGTTTTTCTTTTTGTTGGTAGAGTCATTTGCCTTTAGCTTGCTTTGCACATAAAAGAAAGCATATGTTGACTTGCCATTAAAAAGTAAGATAAGGTTGTGTTTCAGTGTCCATATTTAGGTCTGGGATTTCCTTCTGGACAGTGTTTCCATCCCCCACTCCTAACTCTCTACTGTGTGAGTTGGTTCCAAAAGCAGCTTCATGACATGCTAGCATATTTCTGTGGCCTGGTAGTAGTGTTACTACTGTTCATGTCATGCAGACAGGCCTGGCTTGCCAGTTCCCTGATGTAGTTAGTACCTGTAGCCCCTGACAGAGAACTTCCAGTGCCATGTGTCCCTTCCCATTAAGCACACTGAGCACAGCGAGCGCTGGTTGTCAAAGAGGAACATGACGCGTGTAACTTTCTCTCCACGCCATCTCCCAGCTTCCTTGTAACTACTGAAGCAGCACTCTTGACTGTGAAATGGGCTGAATTACATCTCTAACAGCCTGTGGCACCAAGGAGAGCTTCTCAGATGCCTTCTTTCCATGACATGAGAGTGTATTGTATACTGAATGTTTGACATTGATGCAAACTAATGAACCTAGATCCAGCAAGCCGTACTTTCAGAAATACTATCTTTATGGCATACGGCTGCCAAATCTTAGAGACTAAAACTTTGCTTGGATTCCTAAATAAGAACATTTTTTCTACCTGTCACAGATTAATCCATAGTGTGTGTCTCTGTCTCCTTCTGCAAAACTCTCACATCCTGGAAGAATCCAGCAATCTTGACCTAGCTCTGACCCTAGTGTAAAAGACTTTATTCTCCTTTAATGTAATAGAAACTTTCTGTATTGAAAAGACCTTGTACATTGGAAAATATTGTGCAACTGCACATAGTTAAAAAAGTTAAATTTTACTTTTAAGTGTATCTGTTTCCATACTGTCTCAGATCAGTAGGCATTCCAGCCCAGTATGGCATACTTGATTTCCTAGGGGAAGGTATAGGAAATACTCTGGTGACTGGGTAATGATAAGGCTTGCAGGTAATGTCTTTTGACTTTGGGTGTGAATTTATTTATAATCAATCTGGATATAGATGGAGCTTAAATTATAACATCAGTTATAAAATTTTGAATCTTCAAAGCTCTGAATTTTTGTTTGTACTCTGTTGCATACAAAGGCAAAATATGCCTTATGTGAAAATGTAAATTAAAATAAAAATCAGCAATACCATGAGATTAAGAACAAAGCCAAACTAAACAAACCAAACAACCCAAAGACTTCAAAACAGGCTTTCTAAAATTCATGTTTATGTAAGTGGTGTTGGAAACAGGAGCATGTATTCTTAGATGAAAGGTCTAGATAAGAAGAAAGCCTAACATTTTAAAATCAGATATCAAAACAATGGTCATATTATTAATTTTCCTCTGTGTGCTTTATGAATGTGCATATGGCAGAAGATGCCTGGTGGTGTATCCATATGGACATTCCTCCTCAAGAGCTCTGATGGTTGTGGGACATTCTAGTGTATGTGCTGCCTGTGCCTCTGATTTATCAGCACAGTGTCACATCTTTGAATAATTCTCAGTCTGGCACCTTGCTAACAGACTCTCTGAAGGAAATAATATTAATATAATATTAATTACAATAACAGACTCTCTGAACAAAATAAATCCGTTAGTGCAATGAAGGAGGAAATTGTGATACCTATGCAAAAGAAGGATAAATTTGTGATGTAGAACTTGAAAAGGAAATGATCTGTTGAACATACTTTCAAGACCTTTAATTTTTCTATGCCAAAGGATAAAGACAGTCTGAGAACCAGAGTGGGAGAAGTAACCTGGCAAAAATTGTCAGGTGGGTCACAGCTAGTGGGAGTCAGTGAAAGTGGAGTGTGTTCTCCTTTGCAGGAGACTCAGGAAAGATTTTAAGGTACAGATGCTAATGACTCATACAGTGAATAGAAGGCTATAATATTTAGAGTGGACTTTTGCAGCTGCTTCTCAGGCCCTGGGTTTCTCTTTGTTCTCTGCATCTTGATCAAAGTGGTTGCTAATGTATACTAGTGTGAGTAACTGATATATTCTTATTTGCAGTCCTCCTAGATCTTGATTTTTCCAAGAAAAAAAAACCCTCAGGTTTTCATACAGATAATGAATTTGAACTTTTTCTGAAGGACAAATTAGTGTTCAAATTTACAGCTGGATAAACAGTAAAGCAAATTAAGTGACAATAATCTGTCTTGCTAGCTTTTCTCTTGTGATCCTAAAAAGCTAGTCCAAGCCAACAGTGCTTTCTGAGGCTGTTACGCTTGTAAAACAATGCAAACACCTTCCTAAAGTTCTGCTTTGTCCTTTATGGCACCAGGACTTCCTTGTCCTGTGGAAATCAGTGCACAAAGTTCATAAACAGTAAATCTGAAATGTGAGGGGTGGTCAGTTAAATGTTTATTTAAATAGAAGAAAAAAAAGCAGCCAAGTGGTAAACACTGCCTATAACTGCATGCATTTCCATTTCCATGAGACTTCACACTGGACATTAAATTTGAATTTCCCTTTCTTGCATTTTCTACATTATTAACTATGTTCACTTTAATCTGAAGAATAAGTGCTATCTTCTTATAAATAAAATGAAAACAGGGAGACAGGGACTTCTGGCTGATGTGCTGCAGGCCAAAGGTTAAATTCCTCCCCTATCCGAAACCTAAGTACAATCTTCTTCCTGTGAGAATGAAACGACCAGGCAGTCTTGAGGTCAGCAGCTCTACATAAAAATAAATAAAGTCTCAAGAAGTAGTTGGACTTTGTTTTGGGTTCTCTGTTGAAATCCTCATGGCTCTGGTGTGATGAGTAGCTTTGTATTATGAAGTTCCAACCTCAGTCTTTACTGATGTGAATGATTATGTAGTCAGAATGAGGTACCGATAAGACACTTATTAAAATTAAAAATTGATTATATGAAAGCATCAGACATTGTTTGTGATATTTGATGCAATAAACTACCTCTTTATGTGTGAATATCACCTCAAAATTTTCTTTGAAAGGGGCTGATTTTCTATTATTTTTTTTAATATGTTTTTGTTCTATTTAATATTAATTTCTTTAAAGTTATTAGCCTGCCTTTAGCAGTGCTGCTTCTAATGGCAGCAAAAAGAAAAGCCCACTGTAATTATAAGCCTAGGGCAAAAGACCTTGGCTTTTAAACCTCTTTCATGCAATGCTATGGCTGTACCTGGTCTAATCTAAGTGATTTTGAAGATGCATCAGCAGCACCAGCCCATTAGGCACGTGGCATATTTTGCATTCCTGTTTTTTCACTGCTAGTGACATGTACATTGAAATGAATACCATCCTCAGTGTCACATATCAGCACAGAGCTTAAAAACACTGATCTAGGATTTGCATAATACTTTTCTTTTTTTCCTATTTTTCTGTGTGTTCAGAGAGTGTTTAACCTGGAAAGCCTCAAGGCCAGATCCTCTGCAATGCACAACTGCCAGAATACCTGAGAAGTACTTTAACTAAAATTAATTCAGATTTTTGTCAAGCTTTTTTTTGATTTTTTTTTTTTTTTTTTTTTTTTTTTGCTGCTGCTGCTGTTGTATTTCTGCTTTCAGATAAATTGAGCTTTGCTGCCATCTTGTGTTAAATATTTTCCTTGGTATTTGTCAGTGTACTCTAAAGGTGTTTCATGTGATGTAAAATGCTTTCCTTCAAGTATTGAAGCTGAAATTTATAAAGTTTGTTCTCCTCAAATGCTCTTTAAAGTGATCTCTAAAAGTCAGGCATAAGCTGACATACTGAAGCTTTGTCCCACAAGTTCTTTATTGTAATTTTGATGTGCATTAGTATGGTGATTTGGCTGCAGTTTTGCCAAGTGTTACTCCTGCACTAGGGGTGGGGTTAGCAGCAGGCTCCTGCTTGCAAGCTATGTTAATCGACACATTCTTTTGACAGGACCAAGTCAAATTAAGCACAGGAGTACTTGTGCTGTGACATCTGAAGGAGGTGTAGTTGAGGACACTGATGAGTAACTGAATCTAGAGTGTGAGAACTGGCTTCATGTAGCTGCAGCCAAAGCAGAGCTTTCGTTATAAAGTTATTGTGTTTTGTACTTTATTCATAAAAAAGAAGAATAATTTTCTTTCTTTTCCTTTAAGTAGTTATTTCCAGAATCACAGAATTAGAATTAGAATTACAGAAGTCTAGAAATACAGAAAATTATAGAACTCTTTCTATCTGTTTGCACAATTGGAGGTTTTTAAGATAAACTGTTGTACGTGGACCTTCCTCAGAAACACTTGAATAATCAGTTTAATAATAATAATTTCAGGGCCCAGTCCTTAGCTGAGGTAGTAATTTCGGCTGGACAGATGAATCATGTTCAGCTGAGATTGATTTACGCAAGATGTGGAGCCCTCTGCTTGAGACTGCATGGCTTTCATTGTTTGATGGTGGAATATGGTTCAGGAATTCACAACCACTGTAGAAACCTCCACAAAATCTTGGTTTAGTGTCCAAGAATCTTCTCAGTTTTTCAGGCTTCGAGACTGGCTTACTGGGCAGCTGTGGGCTTACACTGTCTCTGCCTGAGGCCAGGCTTTCATCTGCTCCTGCAATACCAGTAGAAACCAGGAGCAGAGACCTTCTCCCAGCCATGCCTTGTATTTGTGCCACACTGATGGGCTGTTCACCCCCAACTGCTTTAAGTTACTAATGCGACAAAAGATCAGGCAGGTAAACAGGCTCTCAGTAGTTTTGTCGAGAGTAATGGGAGAGAGGAGGCAGAACAATTTCTCTACAATACTTCAAGTAGGGCTGAGAGTAAATTTAAAGAAAATATAAGCACAGTAAAAACGGCATCTTTACACTATTCCACTTACAGTAATCTATAGTACTGGTAACACAAAGTAAGCACGTTAAATATGAACGATGGCATTTTTGTTACCCGAGTCTAGAGTACTTCAGTAGTCAATAAAGAGAGATAAATGTTTCCATTGGATCATTCATCCCATCCTGAGAGAGAGGTCTGAAAAAGGGAAAAGAATTATGCTCTGGAATACCTATGGTTCTTTACTGAGGCAGAAGACAGCCTGGACAGCCAGTTACTTAGCCCGGATGATAATGGTGTATTATACTAATACAAATATTTTTTATTTTTAAAACTTCTGTTATTATAAATCCAAGTTAATTTTTTTCTGTTTTCTTTACTTTTTTTTTGTAAGCTAAATTATATATACCAAGAAGGCAGTCCATGATAAGAAATTAAATGCTTGTTATTTAACAGCAGGTAGGGTGACTTATAGCAATGTCAAAACACTCTTAAAATTTAAAGCAGAATAAGTTAGGAGGCTTTTAAAACTAAGAGATGGCAGGAATGCATTAATTAAAGAGCTAAAATCTAGTGGCACCTTTTACTACTTGAACATTGTTTTAAAGCAAATTTTAAAAGGACTTTTCAACTGGATATATGCAGACCACAGTGGTTCTGTTGGAGTCAATCACAGACATACCAGATAGAGTTTGCATTTTATTCAGAGCAGGAAGAAATAGTCTGGGTTTCTTGTGTAGTGCTAGCCTATCCAAAACATACTTTCTTCAGTCTCATTTATGAAAAATAGTTCATAGACCAAGCAATTGCTATGAAGAAAGTGAAAGAATATTTTGAAGAAATAACACTTGAACTCTGAAATTTTAAATTTGGAAAATGCACACCAACAAAAACTTCAGCTGAAACAATGGTTAAAATTACTAGGATAGTGAATTAAATTATTATGGAAATGACAACTCCATGACACAAAAGCATGTGTAATATTTCTCTTTCTTAAGGTTTCATCAGGGATTCCTTATCATCAAAACTTTGCTTTTGAGTGTAAAAGCACAGAGTTTTCCAGGAGTTAAAAATGTATAATACTTCTCAATTTTACCTTTTCAGCTCTTGGCCTTTCTTCAAGGATTATTTACATTTTACCATGAAGGATATGAACTGGCTCAGGAGTTTGCACCATACAAGCAGCAACTGCAGTTCAATTTGCAGAATGTAAGGATGATTTTGTTTCCATAGTTTAACTTTTTAATTTGCTAATTTCAGTCCAGGATCTTAAAGTAGACTTAGAGCACTTTATTGAAATTCTTATTCTTGCCATGTTTTAGTAAGCTGAAATCAAATTCATATACAAATAGTTAAAATTATTTTTATAAGGTTAATGTAATTAAGATTCCTGATAACAAATAACTTTGATAGTAAATTTGTGATTTCCAGATCAAAACTTTGGGAGCAAGAACAAGAAAAACAGGACAGCAAACAAGTTTTTATTAGAAAACACAGTGGTCCAGATAGATTTTAACTTGTATAAAGCTTTTTTGAGAATGAGGCCTGTCTTCTGGACTAAGTGGAGGTACCAAAAATGCTCCAGCAGGTATAGAATGATACAGTTTGTCCTGCTGTCTGCTAACTTCCCACTGTATATAAATCTTGGGAAGCCATTCTCTGGCTGTTCTCTATACCATTACAGAATAGATGGGACCTTCCTCCATGGTGAGGAGCTCTCATGAGCTCAAGTTTCTCCATTTTCACCAGAAGAGAGAATCGCTTTTTTGTGTAGAGAGTTACACTCAACTGAGCAGATGAATCTTTTGCTATAAATTGGTTTGAATTTGGTAGTCAGAGCCATACAAGATCCCATTTTGGACACAAACTGCCCAAAAAATTTCATAGCTACCAGAGATAACAAATGTGTATTTAATCAACATACTTTTCACTCATAACCGCTTTATAAAAGTGTATACTTGTTTCACTGTTTAATTCAGATAGTGTACTTCCAAGAACATACAAATAAGTAAGTATAAAATATACTTACAAATAAGTAAGTGCGCACTTTGCCTTTAAGCAAAGCTTACACACTCTTCTTTTAAGGCAAAAAGTGAACTTCAACATGTCAGTATTGGACAAGCCCCACATATTTCCTGACAAGTAACATCAAAGTCGAAAAACTTTTTAAAAAAGTTAAGTCCACTTCATTCTTTCAAGAAAATACACATACCATAAATTTTTGTAGCTCCGTCTTCCCTTTTACATCTATTGTTCATATATATAGATCCCATTTAAAACAGTGCTTGAGGAAATAATTCTAAACTTCCTAGATTATTAACCTTTTCCTTTTGGATCAAAATGCAAATGGTCTCTGTAGAGCATCCCAACTGCTTGTCCTTTCCAATTTTGTGTTTTCCACGTTTGTTTGCTACTAAGACACTTTCAGATAAAGACACAAGGGGTCAGTGTTGTTGCACAGCAGTTTCACTGAAAGGGTGAAAAACGTACTTCAGTCCAGAGATTTACTTACTTTAATATGGTAAGTCCTGAGAGGAGCATGAGCTCACAGCACAGACCAAAACTGGCATTGTAAGTAATCATACATTTCTTCTACACGTGTCTCTACAGAAACAAAATTATTAAAGGATTTTTTCCATTTCAGTGTTAATTAAGACAAGCTCTTAAAATGGGTACGTTCCTTCGGTGGCATGTCCTTGAAGGTCTCAAAATGACCTCTCTCAAATTTGGTCTAAACTGATACTTCTTCTGAAGGACGTAGTCTGAAAAGTTCAGATTAGAATTTTACCTCCCTCTCTAATAATAGTGTTTGTCTTCAAGACCAAGATTAAGTATGTATACTTTTATACTATTATGCAACTAACTACACAAATGGCCCATGAAAAAGGGAAAGTATTCACTGGTGTAGTGAGAGTCCTGAGAGTATCTTTCTGACTACTGAGGATTCAAGTCCATAGATGATTCTGTAGAAACATTACAAAAATCTTTATTCTTTTCTTTGACCTATAGGAACAGTGTTCAATAGCTGCTATTTAATCAATCAAAGCTCTGGCATCTTGCAATAATTGTTTTCTGCTGTCCCATGCTAGGTGCATGGAAGGAAACCCTATCTTCAGTGAAATTCACCAAGAACAAGTAGCCATTTATATGCATATAGATAAAAGAAAATTCAGAAAACACATATTAGCACCATAATTGTTTGCTTTCTTACATGCCTGGTTAAACACATGATATTTAGGATAGACACACTTCTTCCAGGCTTTTGGTATAGTTCTGCCACTTCTGAGCTGTTTCTTAACTCCCATTTTTTTTTTATACTGAACTGTGGTGTTTGCCAAGTCAAAACTTGTTCATGGTAGTGCCAGTAACCTGACTATTCTAAGCAGCAGCACCTGTGGTATCACTGCAGATATGGATACACAGAAAATATGTCTCTTCCATGTGTGTAGAACCTGCAGCTGTCTAGACTCATTAACCTGGCTTTAACCCAAACTAGCATTTTCTGCACTGTGCTTAAAGTGCTTCAGTGGGTCTTACTACTTCAGGTTTAGACCTAAGCTGTTAGCAGCTTCTAGTTTAGCCAATTATCTGTCTGAGAATCCCAGAGTGTGCTGAGAGAAAGCCTGTATCTGCAAATACTGTGCAAGCACACTTAAAGATATGAAATGACCTCCTGTCTGAGTTTAGTGACCTGAAGAAAGAGGAATGGTGCTATTCTCAGCTATGCTTTCCTTACATTTGTGTGCCTAAGTTGAATTATTCATTACTGTGTTATTCCTAGGTTTATAGCAGTGAAGATTATTATTCATTATTGCATTTTTTTTTTCCTTTTCCCCCCTTTTATGTCTCTGGCAAATGCTTTTGTTGGTCTCCAATACAGTTTCCATGGCATTATTTGTAATTAGTTGTTCATTGTTATTTTAGTACTTGCATGAGATAATGTGGGGTTTTGTTTGTTTCCTTTTCTGGGTATTAGACTCGGAATAACTTTGAAAGCACTAGGCAGGAGGTGGAGAGACTCATGCAGAGAATGAAATCAGCCAACCAAGATTACAGACCACCAAGTCAATGGACAATGGAAGGCTACCTCTATGTGCAGGAGAAACGTAAGTACAGCAAGGAAGGTCTGTGATGTTGTTTGCCCCAGTGGTTGAGTGGTAGCAAGCTCTGCTCTGGCTGGCTGCCCTGCACCTTGCTGCAAACTCCCAGCACTCTGCTTTGGCTCCCTTCTGTTTCCTGTACTTTCCCTGCCTGAACAGGGCCTTTAGTTCGGCCATCAGGAGCACCTTGTACCAGAGACCTCCAATGACCCAACCATCTTAAATGAGCATGTGCTTAATGGCCATCAAAGATGTAAGAAAAGGTCATCTAAGTACCATCTTACCATAGTTAACCACAGCCAGTTTTATCCTCAGTAGTGCTGCAAGTTTTAAGATCACAGTCTATTTTTTAATTGATTAATAATCATAAAAGAAATCTGTGTTAAGTGTAAGTTACACTGAGCTGTGCTAATGGGGGAGGGAGAAAAGGAGTGAAGCACCAGGCACATGCTGTGCTTCATTAAATAGTGAAAGGACAGCTTGACATCTTCTTACTGAAAAGAAATTTTTATTTTGGATTAACAGGGTCTGTAATCACTGTGTAGTGGGAAAGTACTAGTTGTATAATTCCTTGTCGTGCAACTTTACTTGCCTACAACCCTTATCCTATAGGTTCTGGTGTAATTGTGAGCAACCGGGTTAAATGTTTGCTCTTCTTGAGGGTAAATTTTGTATATATTTATTGCTGATATGTATGGTAGTAAATATAGGGTTTTTTTTAAAAAATGGCACTAGGCCATAAATTGTTTTCTTTCAGATGGATGGCCAACAGCAACAAGCTTAAAATTGCAATACAGGTGTCTGGCTACAATTTTCTAATGAAAAAAGGTGACTTCTTAACTCATCTAAAACTGCTTTGAGAGTGCTCATTCATCTTGTAATGTGCTAAAAGAGATAATGAATTGCCATCAGAGGAAAAATTGATTCCGAATAATTACAGATTTTGTTATGCTAAGTGAAGATAACTTTAAATATAGGAGCAAAACAGCTAACTTCTGAGGGTGCATAACTATTTGAATTTTCAAATAGTGACTTTACTTTCTTCCAGAACACAGACAGTAGGAGAGCTTTCTCAAAGTCAGCATAGCAGACCATATAAATTTCCACAGCTAGGTTTCTGGATTGACAGACATCTGACTTACATGACTGATTCATTCTCTCATATAACCACCACATTTGTGGGTACATTGAGAAGGCAAAACCTGTGTATCTATAGTAAAACTATTAGAGGTTTTTTTTCCCCAACATTTTTATTTAATTCTTCTCATTAAAAAAAAACATAACTAAAATTTTTAAAAAATTGAAATACCACCTTATTGTTTTCTGGGGATAGGGGAAGGGATCATTTCTGGGTCTCGAAGGTGGCAGAGGGAGCACTCAGATATTGTCAGGTGTCTGTACGTGGTGAGCACTCACATGTGAATCATTTGCCTCTTGTACACTTTGTTATTAATATTGTTGAAAACTTCTCAGGTCTGTTCTTGCCTTTTTCCTGCCTTGTTACCATAATAGAATGCTGCTACCCATCCAGTTGCCAAAGAAAGTCAGTGTGCTGGAACTTTATTGGGCAAGATTATCAAACTACAATATTTGAAAATTATACTGGAACAACATGTTCAGATTAAAAAATAAGGAGTAGGCTGCATGTGGATGCTACTATATTTCATTTTTCTACTCTAATTTCAATTGTAATAGTGGTAAAATGACAATTACTATTGATATTCTCTTTGCTCTAGGACCCCTTGGATTTACATGGGTAAAACATTACTGCACTTACGACAAAGGAACAAAAACTTTTACAATGTGTATAGCTGAAACAAAATCGGGTGGAAAAGTGGTGAGTTACTTGTACATGAACACATACATGAGCTGTATATTCCTTTTTTATAAAGCATTTAAGGACAGCTAAAAGAAAAAAATGCAAACAGATAAGGCTGATCTCACAGGTGAATTATAGCATGGATAAATATTTAAGTAATATTTATTTTAAACCATATTTAAATCACATATTAAATAACTTCTCTAATGTGGTTGTTGTAAATGCATATGAAATTTATCACATTTGCGCAGAATCATAGAATGGATGAGGTTTGGAAGGGGGCTCTGGAGATCTCTAGTATAAACTCAATTCAGTGTCAACCAGAACACGTTGGTGAGGTCTGTGTTGAGTCAGGTTTTAGATCTCTCCAAGGGTGGAGAGAAAACTTCTTCTAAAGTTCAAATCCTTTTCCTAAGTTCAAATACAAATTACTTGTATTTGTGTTTGTGCCCCTTGCCCTTCCACTGGGCACCACTGAGAAGAATCTGACCCGGTCTACTTTCCTTCCCATGAGGTATCTGTAGATCAGTCACTGATGTGATCCCTCTTCCCCAGACCAAATAGTCCCAGCTCTCTCAGCTTCTCCTTACATGACAAATCACAGGATCTTCAAGGTTGGAGGTGACCTTCAAGGTCATCTAGTCCAACTGTCAGTGTAACACCAGCATAATCACCCCTAAACCATATCCCTATGTGCCTCTTGTACACTTTCAGAGATGGTGACTCCACCTGGTTGACTTATTTCAATGCCTAACCACTCTTCCACTGAAAATTTTTTTTTAGTATCTAATCTGAACCTCCCCTGGCACAACTTAAGGCTTCTCCCCCATGTTCTTTCACTGAAGACGTGGCAGAAGAGACTGACCCCCACTTCATAAAGTCTCCTTTCCAGTAGTTGTGCTCCAAGTCGTTAATCGCCTTTGAAGCCTTTAGCTGGACTTGTTCTAGCACATCACTGCCTCTCTTGTAGCAGGGAGCCCAGCACTGGGCATAGCATTCCAGGTGTCCGTCACCAGTGTTGAATGGAGGGTGAGGATCTCTTTCCTCCTCTTGCAGGCAGTACCCTGCCTGATGCCTCCCAGGAAGCTGTTTGCCTTCTTTGCAGCAACATCACATTGCTGGCTCATGGTCACCTTGTTGCCCACCAGAACCAGAAATTTCTTTTCTGCCAAGCTGTTCTCTATCCTGTCAGTCTCGTCCTGTCCTGGTGCCTGGGCTAATTGCTATCCATGCTGAACAGTACTGACCCCATGGGCATACCACTGGCTGCAGCCGGACTTCTGCTGTGATCTCAGCAGTTCAGGCAGTGTTCAGTCCACCTCACCATCTCACCCATATTTCACCTGTACTTGTCCATGAGGATGTAGTAGGATGTAGTGTCGAAAGCATGACTAAAGTTGAGATAAACAATATTCATTGTTCTTCCATCATACACTGAGCCGTCCAGCACATTGTAGAGACTTAGCAGATTGATCCTGTGTGATTTTTCCTTTATTTAATTCACGCTGACTGCTTCCAGTCATCTTTCTGCCCTTAATATGTTTGGAAATGCTTTCCATGATTATTCACTTCATCACCTTCCCAGGGATAAAGCTGATGCCTACTAGCCTATAGTTCCCCATAAGATGTGAGGCCTCAGGTTGCATCAGGGGAGGTAGGTATTACAAAAATTTTCTTCACCAAGAGGGTTGTCAAGCAGTGAAACTGTCTGCCAGGGAAGTAGTTGAGTCACCAAACCTGGAAGTATTTAAAAGATGTGTAAATTGTTTAGTTGTGACCTTTTCCATCCTGTTTGGTTCTATATCCTTCTCCTTGCTCATTTTGAAGACAGGAGTGACATTTGTTTTTTCCCATTCCTCAGAATCCCCAGTTGTGTGAGCCTTGCCATCGTTATAGAAATGTCTCATGATCATGGTGGCCACAGTTGAGAGTTAGTCAGCTTAATTCTTCAGAAATCTTTTTATCTACATGTGAGAGTTGGCAGAATTACATGATTTTCATCCTAACATGCATGTAATCAAGTTATATACACAGGTGTTTGTAAGATTTGAATTTAGGGAATTTCCTGAAATATAATGGTTAAGTAACAACTATAAGACAGAAAGCTATTAAATGCAGTCTTAATATACAGAAAAAATATTGTAAAATATGCCTAAATAATTTTAATCCCTATGTTAAGACATGTTCTTTGGACTGTTCATGCTGTTAAATTTAAGATGAAGCCAAGGTGTGTAGGCATACTGACTGTGCTAATTCCATTTTGTTGTTTTGTAGAATGGCCTTGTCACAAGCTCACCAGAAATGTTCAAGCTAAAATCTTGCATCAGGAGAAAGACAGATTCAATTGACAAACGTTTCTGTTTCGATATTGAAGTATTTGAGAGGTTTGTTTCCTTTGTGTTAACAATTTGAAAATGATTGCAACCAATAGATGATAATTACTCCTGTAGCAGGAACACATGTGACCAATATATTTGTATACAGACAAGCTAGGCTTTGGAGACTTAGTACTTCTTTGTTCCGACCTGGTTTTCTAATTAAATTCACTACACAGAATATGTGTTGTCTTTACTACATGATGTTTGTATGCAGATACAGTATGGATTCTTAGGGAACTTGTAGCAAAACTGACTGTCCTCTTTTAGAAAGAAGCATATTCTGTACAAATCTCTATTACTTTCAGAAATGTATGGTAGTATTTTTTTTTCTTGAAAATTATGTCCGCAAATTTTTTTCCACTTATTCCTGGATATTATTATTATTATATCAGATACATAAGAATAGATTTCCTGTATTTAAGATAGCGGAAATATCTATATGAGAATATGCAGTATTTGTAGAAGTATTTTTTCCAACATTGGGAATAAAAAGAAATATTGAATTAATTGTTGTGTTAAAATATGACAAATAGACTGACTTTTGTAGTTGTTCTCCTAAAAATTGTTTTATGACTGTTAGCAAACTTTTAAAAAAACAGATGTGGTTTATATCTAGCTCAGAATTGTTCTGTTATATCAGAAGCTCTGATACAACTTTCTCTAACTTCTGTCTGTTTTTTATGTATTACATCACTATGCATGTGGATTCTGACTTTGGATACTTTTTGAGAAAAACAGTAAATTCAATGAATGTTTGTGTTTTTGACAGGCCTGGAATCATCACACTACAAGCTTTTTCAGAATCCAACCGAAAACTTTGGCTTGAAGCTATGGATGGAAAGGAACCAGTAAGGATGTTTTTTAATTTTCATTTTACAGTTTTCTGGATCACATACCACAGAAAGAAGCTAGTATACATTTCAGATACTCTGTTGCAATACCAACAAATAGAGTTCTTTTCTTTGTGAGACACTAATGCAAGTACGTAGTGAAAATAACTACAAAGTAGAAAAATCATTATTTTATGTTAGGATATTTAAAGTTATACGATTTTAAGTAACATGATAGCATATTGTCTAATAGGATTCGTGGTTCAGGTAACATATGTGAAGTGGTTGTTATTACAGTGGTAAAGATCAGCCATCTTTTGGGCACTTTCATGGAGTAAGCAATTAGTACCATCTCAAAAGGCGTTGCAGAGAGCAGAAAAACGTGTTGAAAGCTACTGAGAGACAGGCTTGTCTGAGTTTTCTTCCCACTATTTGTGCTCTTAAAGTAGTCACAGAATGAGGCTGATGGCAGACCTGTATCTGACAGGAAAAGAACGGCTGACCCATTTTATGAACTCTGTTAGTGTTTTTATATGCTTCTTGTTGGCCTGAACCAGTACTGGAATTATAATCACAAGCTAGTTTGAAATTTAACTCATCTGGACTCAGTAAATCTGACTTCCAATGCATTAGTTGCATTATGGTAGCGCAGAGCTGTAACCCAGCTGTGTGCTGGAGCAGTAAATGTCAAGAGATTGTGAAAGGCAAAGTTGGGATTTCCCTATCAGCAATCTAGTACACAGCATGTTGCGACTTCTCACAAATCTGGCAATAAAGGATTTAAAGCACAGATATTGTCCTATTGCATTGTTGTTTGTTTTTTTTTTTTACAGATCTACACACTGCCAGCCATTATTAGCAAGAAGGAGGAAAGTAAGCGCTTTATGTTGAGTTGCCATATCTTGCTATATTTCTGTAATATTACAGTTTCTTGATATATGTGTGGGAGAAAGAGATTATTTTATATTTTAGTTTTGTTGCTGTGGAATAACTTGCTTGATTATCTAAACTTTTCCTGGCCCAACTTGAAGCCTTTTCCTCTCATCCTATTGCTTGTTACATAAGATAAGAGGCTGACACCACCTGGCTGCACCCTCCTTTCAGGCAGCTGTAGACAGTGATGAGGTTCCCCCTGAGCCTCCTTTTCTCCAGGCTGAGCACCCCCAGCTCCCTCAGCCGCTCCTCACAGCACTTGTGCTCCAGACCCTTCCCCAGCCCCGCTGCCCCTCCCTGGACACGCTCCAGCCCCTCAATGTCTTTCTTGCAGTGAGGGGCCCAGAACTGAGCACAGGATTGGAGCTGTGGCCTCAGCAGCGCTGAGCACAGGGGGACGGTCACTGCCCTGCTCCTGCTGGCCACAGCAGTGCTGATCCAGGCCAGGGTGCCATCGGCCTTCTTGGCCACCTGGGCACACCCTGGCTCATGTTCAGCTGCTGACCAGCACAGCCAGGTCCTTTTCCATCTCGCAGCTTTCCAGCCACTGCCCCCAGCCTGTAGCACTGCCTGGGGTTGCAGTGACCCAGGTGCAGGACCCAGTACTTAGACTTGTCGAACCTCATACAACTGGCCTTGGTCCATCACATCTTTTTAATTTTAGGTGTATATGTCCCTGTTAGACATACACTGAATAGCAAAATTAGTGTATTTAAAGTACTAAGATTTGTGTTCATAATTGTATTAACACTGTATTAACACATCGGTTATTATCACATTATATTAGCACAAATATATAAAAATAATTTAAATAATATATCTCAGAGAAAGAGATTTGTAAAATTTGGACATATATCTTCACTGAAGGTGTATTTGAGACTTTGAAAATCTGAAATTTAAGCCACTATCTGTTTTTTTATATGGTGGTGTTTATTTTAATGGTGACAAATATGCTGGTTTAAGATCTTTATTTAGGTAGTTAGAGCAGTGAGTATTGAAGATGCAACATTAATGAGAAGTACAATCACTTGAAATAAGATTACTAATTAAACTCAGTAACAAGGATTGATCTCCTACATTAATTTTATGAGTGATTATGTGCATGTGCAAGGCACAAAGAATATTGTTGTATTAAAAACAATTAATATATTCTGTTAATAACGTAGGTCCTGGACTATTAAAAGCATTTTGCTAAGCAGCTTTAAACTGTGTCTTTAGAAAGGCTATTCATTGCAGAGAAAGAAAGTAGAATATTAAGCTTCTACTGGTACAGAATGACTACAAAGTTGGGTTGTGAATGCTAGGGATGTATCTACACAGAGCCTATTTCAGAGCAAGTATTATAATGTAATGGATAACTGTGTATTAGCCCTCCTTGGCTAGTGTGTGAGTGTAGCTAAACAGAATATTTTGTATATTGATATTGGAAAGTAATTACCCTTTTTTTTTATATAGTGTTCTTAAATGAAGCGGGTTTCAACTTTGTGAGGAAATGTATTCATGCTGTGGAAACAAGAGGTGTGTATTAAACCACAAAGAAGGTATTAGATTGTTGTGACTTTTTTCTAAAATATGGGGGTTCTTAAAATTCTGCATGTTTTATATCTGTGCTTTGTTTAAAGTGTGTCCATTGTATGGTTTGGATTTTTCATATTTTATCTGGATGCGTTGCACTCCAAATTGTTATCTTCAGTTCCACCAACAATTCTTAACATGTTTGAGATTTTTAAAATTTTTTCTATAATTTCTTGTTGATTAGATAGCTTTAAACACAATTGAACACATCTTTAGTCTTTCCTTTGTGTGCACTGACTTTACTTTTCTTTTGATACAACTGTAGGGAGTCTCAGCTCCCAACTTTGGTTTCAGGTGTGAAATCTGAAGACCCAAAAATGACATCAACATTCTTTGTTGGTGCATCTGGTTTTTTGCAGAGTATAACTCCTGTCATTTTATTCACTAATGTTGTACATAGTTTTTGGGGTTTTTTTTTTTATGTTTAGCAGCATTTAATGTTTAGCAACACTCATTTTTGTTAATGGGAATGTGAAAAAAAGGAAGTAATAATCACTCTACTGATGAGGTGGTATCTAACAACTCCCAGTAAGTTTTAAATGGAGAGTTATGGCTATATCACCACCTATGAAATGAGATAGCCTTTTCCTGAGCTGTCAGTGTGCAGATCTCTTCTAATCCAAATATGTTCTCTGTGCACCTTTGAGCTCAACTTGAATTCAGTTTCTCAGCCAGCAATGTTATCATTGTTGAGTCACTGCTGACTCAGAGCTTGCATTATTTTCTGGGGCAGGGAGGGTGAAAGAGGGTTTCAAAACAAAATACCTAGCTTATCTAAGTGAGATCAGATTTAGGAATTTTGTTTTCAAAGGAAAAGTAGACCATTTTAGATGTTAAGAATTGAAGTGAGAATAATGGAAGACATTTAAACCCTGCTGATTTTTTAAAAGGCAGTTAAAAATAATAAAATAATAATGACTGAGATAATCAAATATGTCTTAAGCTGCACCAAGAGAAATATAGATTGGATATTTGAAAAAAAATTTTCACAGAAAGGGTGATAAAGTGTTGGAATGGTCTGCCTGGGGAGGTGGTGGAGTTACCATCCCTGAATGTGTTTAAAAGAAGATTGGATATGGCACTTGGTGCCATGGTTTAGTTGAGGTGTTAGAGCATGGGTTGGACTCAATGATCTTGAAGGTTTCTTCCAACCTAATGATTCTGTGTTCTAAATACTGTATTCTGAATGTCACTCTTTAAATTATTTGATAATATTATCTGTGCTATTAAAAAAGGCCTGGCAATTATAACTGGCAGCACAAATTCTCAACTGATGTATCTTAGTACAGCATACAGCATGTGTTTTTGTTTTCATATAAATGTCAATCACATCTTATTTGGAAGGGATGATGGTCTGAGCAAATGTAGATGCATGGTAATTCCACTGACATCTAGGCAATATACACTCGTTGATGTGTAATGTGTTTTAAGACTGCTTTTGGGTCTTATTTTTCACTTTTCCTAGCCATCACCTTGTTGTTTGCTAATATGGGTCATTTCTATGCAGAAGGGTTCTGTTAATGTAAAATTATGCTTAGTGTATGGTAGCGTAGACTCAGTTGAATGAATTTGTTAATATCCCACAAGAGATTGCAGTAGGGTAAAGCAGTACTTAAGAATGTAATGGTACAGTTTTTCGTGAATACATTTATATATTTTGAAAACATACACCAAGAATGCATCAGCATATATTGAAATAACCATATTTTCATTATTTTAATTTTTTTTCATCTGTGTTTTCCCAATGTAGGTATTACAATCCTGGGGCTGTACAGAATAGGTGGTGTAAATTCCAAGGTGCAAAAGCTGATGAATACCATATTTTGTAAGTATCTGAAGTGAACTTTTGTCATTGTGCACTGTGATCCCTTTCGCCTCAACTGCTGTGCTCAGAAGAGTGTGTCACAATATTCACAATTTTGTATGTGCATTGGCTGCCACTGAATTGAGTTTGCACTCTTAAAATGAGTGATTCATCTGCAGTTTATTGTGTGCATTAGTATTCACTTCTACATGTTACACATGAGCAAAATTACTAATGAAAATACTTTTCTTCTTATGGCTTTAAAGTTCTATTTATTGATATATATTTGGCTTGTTCCACAAGTTCTCCACAGCTTAGTTCCATAACACATCATGGCTCACCTGAATAGACATTTGTTCCAGTCTTTCACTTTTCTTGCTAATTGATCTCTCTGGTGCTTGTGTTTGCATGTCTGAGACAAATGAACTAGCAAATCTCTGTGGACTTAGGCTTACTTAACACTGGTACAGTGCATAGTTGATGTTTATGGTTACTAACTATGAGCACTGAATTTATTTTTATTTATAATTTGACAGAAATGAGAATGTTTAAATTGATCAGATTCGTGATTAGTCTAGCAAATAAATAATTAGTTGAGCTAAATGGCTGATCTAATAGCTTCTGTTTTGCTGCTTTTCTAGTTAATATGTTAGTCAAACTGTAACAAAATCCTAATTCATATTTCTACCAGCTCCTAAATCACCTCCTGATATGGATATTGATATGGAAATTTGGGACAATAAAACAATAACAAGTGGACTAAAAAACTACCTCAGGTAAGTATGATCCCAAACAGTTTCAGTATTCCTTTTCTGGCCCATTAATCTTTGGGTTGTTAATATGTCTTGGATACATTTCTTGTATCAATTGCCATGGCAATAAATGAGTATTTTATTATCCTGCTTAATATTCCTGTGATTATGTATAATAAGACATACCTTACACCTTTTTTAGATAATCCTGCCATATATTGCCCTAAATTCAATTAATTGTATGTTTTTATTTAATTTTTTTTATGTTAACCACAAAGCATGTTGTGCTCAGTCTTTTCTTTGTGAATCACTTAAGTTGTGTACCATAAAATTTCATGACATTATGGTTGAATAAAAATCCTAGAAAAAGGATAGATTTTTTTAATCTTATGTTCTTAATATCTTCACAAATAAAATACCCCTCCTGTCATTTTTGCTGATAAGAGACAGAATATTCAAAAATTATGGTATTTCTGAGATAACTCTTTTGAATGTCAATATATAGTGTTTCAAAGAGACGTAATAAAAAGTATGCAACCAAGATGGTGTGTGTACGTGCCTTCTACAAATCTAGATTTCCTATTTAAGTCACCCAACAAAGGGCAGCATCAGAAATTCCTATTAACCTGGAAAACATGCCTAGGATTTATAGCAGAATGCTCATGTACATTTCATTGAAAAGACTGGCTTTGGCTGAAGAAATTTATAATATAATATAATATAATCTTCAGAAGCACAAGTCATTGTAGCTACTGTGTTTATGAAATTAGGACATGAGTGAGCAAGCAGTAGCTGTGTGTTTCTGTCTGTAAGGCAATTCACAGTCTGCCTTTCAGAAGATTACTCTTTTAAAATCTCTCAGATCAGAATTTCAGTCCTAAATTTCATCATATTTTTGCATTTATTGGGCAAAATGTTGCTTCTGCAGCCCATTATACCATGTCTATGTTATATCAGCTATATGCCATATTATACCAGCTGTATATACTCCTGTCCTGCAATATGGAAGGCAGGAAATATTGAGGCTCTGTGGTGAAATAACATTTTCCTTATTAACTTACATGGTGACACCAGATTCAATTCAAATTGATTTTTAGACAGTGTACGTGACTGAGTTTTATACTACTCTTAATCAGTCACCACTGAATTGGATTTCCTAGGACCAGTAGAGCATTGTGCAGATGTTGAGGGCTATCATAATCACACTCATAAAACTTTGATTATGAGTCTGTTTTAAATTTAAAATTTGTTTTTTTGACAATCAGGTGTCTTTCAGAACCACTGATGACTTTCAGGCTGCACAAAGATTTCATTGTTGCTGTTAGTAAGTAAATGATAAATACTCTTTCATGAAAGTAGCATTGTTTCTAACCCCTAATATAGTTAGTCACTATCTTTACTTTTCTTCTTGCTCTAATATGCAGTGATCCAGCCCTCAAAACAGAGAAGTCACACTAGATGAAGCTGTTCAGTGGTTTGTTCTGATCCTTTTAGTGGTTCTGTGTGACTGCCTTCTGCATGTTTTGAACCCTCATTTAGATGTTTGTTTGTTTGTTTTATATAGGCTGATAATTCTTTTGTAACATTCATCCCTCGCATCCAGAGACCTTTATTTTCGTAGCTTGCCTTGAGAAATCAGAAAGGTCAAATCTGAACTCCTTTTCACAAATGAAGTAAGGATACAGAGATAGCAGAGATCATTTTTCTTATGACTTCAGTTTAGAATTTGAAGATATTTCTCCATTTTCTCTTGTCTTGATAAGAATAAAAAACACAAAATAATTTTAGCTCTTTTAATCTATATTTCTTAGTTTAAATCTTAGACTTCACTGAAATGGTACATCAAGTCAATACTGCCATTAATTTGTTGGTTGCAGTATTGATAGTAATTGCTTTAGGCAAGTTACTTGAAATACAGATTTCACAGTGTAATAAATATAATCAAATTTTCCTCAGCATTTGAAAGCTAATTTTGTTTGGCTCCTCTTAATGCATGTTTGTGTTAGCATACAGGCACTGATGCCATTTTTAATCACTTCTTAGCATATGTTCTGATTTATCAACAATTTGTTTTCTGTTTAATAGAGTCGGATGATCAGAACTACAGAGTTGAAGCAGTGCATGCACTTGTGCATAAATTACCAGAGAAGAACAGAGAGATGCTGGACATCCTTATTAAGCACTTGGTCAAGTAATTATTTTTTATTTTTCTCTTTGGTATTATTGTAATATGTTATCATTTCTGCTTTAAATTTGTCAGTGTTGCTTAATCCATTTTCTGTGTCGAAACAATGACACTCAAAGTTACATTTGATTTCTAAAATGCTGTTCTCAACTGGAATAATACTCTCTGTAGAAACAGAATAAAAACATTAAGTGTTACCAAGATGGCAGACAATGTTTATAAAATCAACCTAGTCAATGTTTTCATTCATGTTCTTACTACAGGACTTGTAACTAATTAGATGAATTACACTTGACATGTGCTTAAAAATCTCACTTGACATGAGATTTAAAAAAAAGACAAGTTTTTATTGTCTTAGGTTTCTGTAGTTTTTACTGGTATTTGCTCAATACTTTTGAATATGTATTATTCTTTCTGATTTCGGATGCTGTATAGTACATTTATCAGTCATCTGGGAATGTGTATAGTGAAACAATAGTTGTTCAAATAAGGCTCACATGATTCACACATTTATAAGACATGAGAAGAGTCCATGTAGTTTTCATTCAATTCACTACATCCCAGATGTTTTGCTTTTTTGATCACAGCTTGAGCTACAAGCTGCAGTAAGCTGTCTACAGTGGAACCTAGTACAGTTATGCTTCCTGTTACAGAAACGAGAACTTTGAACATTTCTTTGACAGGAAATCATTTAGCCCTAAAAAAATGGTTTTAGCCCATTATGTCATTAGCCCCTGGAGGACTAGCACTATAGCAAGCTGCTGTAAATGCATTCACTGCAAAACCTGATTAGGCAGACCTTGCCTCTTGTTATACTTGGGCTGACACAGAGAGCCAGATGGAAAAAAGTTTTATAAGTTTCTTTACTCACAGAATTGTTTAATTAACTAAAAAATACAATACCTACTCCTTTGGAACCCTCAAGAATGTGAAAGTATTTAATGAAGGAGTAATAATTTTGTAAAAGCTGCTTGTCTGGAATATTCAAAATTCAAGGAATATATAAGCATAGGAACTGACTTACTTATCAGTGCAACTACTGTTAGGCAAGCATTACTTTCTTCTTTTCCTTTCTTTTCTCTTTATTCTCAGCGTAATCTCAGACACAATTCCAAAGAAAAGCATACCTGTAGTATTCCCTTATTTAATTGTTCTCTTTAACTTTTGCTTTTCTCATCTTTGTTGTGATTCTCATTTCATAGAGTTGTAATCTTAATTTTACACTGAGTGCCTGCAGTGCTTTTCTTTCCAACATAAAATTCACCCCTTCTAATTTCCATAGTATTTGCCAGCTGTTGTTTATGCTAGCAATTCTAATGAGACTGAATTTAAAATTAGTCTCTTGAGTGTATTAGCCATCTTCCTCCCTCATCTTTTTCCTATCATTCCTATCAAAGAACAAATAAATGGCAGGTAAAGTGCCTAATTTTATGGAAATGGGAAAACTTGGGAGAAAAAAAATCCAGCTTCCTGTTTTCATCATTCTTTTGTTGAAAATCCAGTTTCAAAGTGCATAATTCCTTCCCTATATTTCTTTTAGCTGTTCAGTTTTCTCATAAATGCTTTTGCAGCAAAGTAAAAATACTGTAGTTTTGGGTTATAAAATAAGGAAAATGTTATTTTTCCTCTTGGTTTAAGTCTTCAGGTCTTTGCCTAGCTTGACTTTTGTGTTACGATGCAAATTTAAATAGGATCAGATGTGGGATGTAGATAATACTAAAAACAAACAAACAAAACTGGCAAATCCTGAAAAACACCCTGGAGAGGGGTGATACTGCATGGATGCATAGTCAGTAGCTAGGCAAACATGGCAAGTTTGGTGCTACTTTCACATGGGTAACTTATTTTTTGGTTTTTAAACCATGTAGTCAAATTATGTCTAGTGTAAAGAATGAATCATTCTTTGTTATGATTTAACAACTTGTGGTAGGCAGTTGAGAGTCTGCAGTCTGGCAGTATCACAAATTTGCTGGTGATGCATCAAATTAAGAGATTCTGAGCAGAAAGCAATGGCATTTCCAAGAATGCCCTATAGCCACCTGAAGTGCATGATTACCTCAGTTTGTGTCTGTGCTGTAGCTCAGCGCCAGTAGGAGCAGGTCAGGGGAAAGTGGCTATCAAAATGATCCATTTACAGCCCTGGGTTCTTTCTCATTTGCAAGAAATGGAGCCTTTGAAATGCATTGTAGAAAGCCCTTTCCCGCTGCAATGTTATTGAAGTCACCATTTCTCTTATTAGCCAAGCTCCCAAATTTGTAACCAAGGAAACCCAAACACCAGACAAACGCTACCTTCTCTCTTATGCTATAAGATTGTAGTATTTGTGTAACAGACCTCTGCAGTTACTGTGCACCACACAGCAGAGTAACATTCCAAAGGGAGGGGTTTTTCTTAATTTTTTAATAGCATATCTAGAGCTGAGTTTTCAACATTCTAGTTTCATTAAAATACTAGTGGACTTCCGAAAAGACCCTTAGTCTTCTAAGATAAACGTAAGATCTGTTTCAGAGAAAGTTAGATTAAGCTAAAGATGTGCTTTAACAGTGGAGTCATTTTCATGATGTGTCTTCCAAATAATGATCTCTGTCTGTCTGTCTGAGGTAACAATTCGGAAAGTTTTGAGATAACTTATTGAAGCAATATAAGAAATATGTAAGAAGATAGGCATTTGTTTTCCTGCAGTCTATAATTTTGCTGCTTCCTACACAAAACCCTTTCCCATATTTCTCCTACTTCTTGATGGAAATGGGGTGATAAAACCTTCTTGTCCCAAATATGAAGGGAATGTTTTATAGATTTTACTATTTCTTAATTTTAAAAGTTGAAATAATTATTTTAATTGCGTAGGAAATGGCTAAAAATGCTCAGCTTGACCACAGTAGCAGATGGCAGTGAGAAGGAAGAGAAAAATACCTCATTAATAAGTTCCATTTGATAACAGGTTCAACAAATTATGCATAAAGGTGATTTTAAAATCGTGACTTGGCATAATATTCCTCAGAAATGAGGCATTAGGGCATCTGTGACTGGGGAATCACTAGCAGTTGTTTCAAAGGATCTATGATGATACAGTTTTTAATTGGCAAATCTTAGTAGTAAGGGGAAAAATGGGGCATTGAGTATTACTGACTGAGATTTAATTATCTGATAAATTATTGGGAAAACTAAGCTTTTAGATTCTACATTAAAAAGAAAAAAAAGCAGAAAAGGTAAAGTATGTGATAATAGACTATACAGAAGTAAAAGGTTAATATATTTTAAAGCCAGATGTCATTATGATCATCTAATGTTATCTATCACACAGAAACAATAATTTCACTTAATCCATTGACCCCATGTTTCCATCAAATTAATAAAGAGATTGTATTGCAAATTAAGTGTTTTCAGTGACTAAGCTTCATTCCTTTACGTGAACACTAAGGTATGTGGTAGATATCTGTTACCACACAGTGTTTTCAGTCAATCCAGTCGAAAGTATATAAGGACCTGTACAATCATTGGAGAGAGATATTGCTTGCCCTAAGACTTCTAAACTTTAGGTGTTCTCAATCTCTCTGTGTAGATCTCCAAATACAGTTGCCTTTCCCTGTCAGGTACATCAGGAACTGAAATACTACTCTAGGAGGACATACTCATTATCCATTAAGTTATTGCATGACAGGAGCCTTAATGGAAACATAGTAGTTGTACTACATTGTATTTTGATTCTAGTGTAAGTGAAAGTTTTAAAAATGTATTTAAAAGGGAGGCATGAACTTGAGATCCTGTGAAAGTAGTAGTCTTAGCAAGTTATTGCCTGTTAAAATTGTAGTTTAGTACAGCAATTAAATCACATATTGTTTGTGTTCATTTAAAGGGTATCATTGCACAGTCAACAAAATCTAATGACTGTATCCAACCTTGGTGTTATCTTTGGACCAACTCTGATGAGAGCACAAGAAGAAACCGTGGCTGCTATGATGAACATTAAATTTCAGAATATCGTCGTTGAAATTCTGATAGAGCATTATGAAAAGGTAGAAAGAGATTACCTGTTTTGTTATGAAGTGGAACTAAGATCTCATTTTCATTACCAAAATGAAGTCCTTAAGAATAAAGAGTCCAAAATGTGCAGAAGGTCATTATTAGAAATAATAGCTTCTTCCCACTCCATGCTATGGATCTATGTTCCTAGCAAGTCTTTCATTGCTGTGCAAGGTACAAATCCAAGACATAATTTTCCATGCTTTGAAGGCATTGTTCTGAATCTTCAGTTGCTTTCTGAAGATTGCTTCCTGAATCTAAAAACAGAAAGACAAGGTCATAACTTCTGTCCTGACTGCTCCAGCTCTTTCTTGCTGCCATTGTATGAAGGTTCACTCTAGGTGAATGCACAGATTCTGCTCTGAGTGCATCAGGTCAGGGTGTTTCTGGCCACTTATGTCCTTAGGGGACATGTCAGCTGCATAGTGGAGATTAGTCAGTAGAAGGGTTGAGAAGGACTTGAGCAGGAAATGTTACACACTCACTTTCAGTCACTACCACTGCTGGTATCAGTTTCACTGAAAGGCCTCCCCAGTTTTTTTGTTTTAATTTTAAACTGTTTGATTTCAGAATTCAGCCGAGACCTCCTTTACTAAGTAGTCAAAAGCAATTTTATTCTGGGGATCTTAGTTGAGCTATGTCATCTCTGATGACTGACAAAACAAAGTGAAAAAAGTCTGAGTTTCTGTCATTACATATTACTCAGCTAAGGGGCAGTTCCCAGTCAATACCAGGATCCCTGGTTGATCAGTAGGTGCTGACAGTACAGCTTGGTATCATCAGTTATATTTCATAGGGACTCCTCAAAAGGGTTATGAACCTGATAGCCTTCTTGGCTCTGATTGCAGAACATATATATTGCATTTTTCCAACACTGAATTTCTTCTCCAGAAGATCAGAGCTCATTCAACGCAAAGACCATGACTGCACAACCAAAGTCACTCCTGTTCTATTTCTCTGTCTACAGATCTGTTTTTATATTGATGTACTACTCACTAGTGCTTAATACAGTTTGGATGTACTCTGAGAGCATCTCAAGAAGTCCACCAAAGTATTTCCTACTGTGGAAGTACAGTTGCTTTTTTCCACTTCTATTAATGGCACAAAGGTGTCTTTTCATGGCTTGAATCCTCTTCTTTTGGGAATGCCCTATAGCTAGAGTGCCCAGAAGTCCTTTCAGAGATGCCTTCTGGCATAGCGTGGTTAAAAACTGAGTTTTTTCTGTAGCAACAAATTGCGAAATTGACCAAGTGGTAGGAGTGGTATGTAAAAGATAAGAACCAGGAGATGCCTGAAACGTAAAGTTGTTCCTCATTAAACTTGACTTGTTTGGTCAAATAAAGCTTTCTGAAATCCAAATTTGATTGTAATAAGTTATGACTGTGACATATTTCTGTGATCCATAAAAACTTTCTCTGGAACACAGAGGCAAAAATCAACTTTGTCATAATATTTTGAAAAATATATTACTTCTTGGTGAAGAGTCATTATTAGGCACTTATTTTGTTTTACAATTTCAACTGTTAAGCTCTTCTTTACAAGAGCTAGAAAATAAATCTATTTCAACAAATTAATACAGATATTAAGTACAGCTCAGTATTGTGGTTCTTGAGTTGTAAAATGAGATCAAAGCAAAGCTTATATTCTGTGACTTTACTCTTTCGTAATGTATGAGGCTATGATAGTGTTAATTTCAAGCACTGTGGGGAGGAAAACAAATGGATTAATAATGAAAGTGTAAGAGTACCTCTGTTGTGTAATGTCATTTTTTCCTTTTTTTTAATCATGCAGATATTTCACACAGCACCAGACCCCAATATTCCTCTTCCCCAGCCTCAGTCCCGATCGAGCTCAAGAAGAACAAGAGCAATTTGTCTCTCCACAGGCTCACGTAAACCCAAAGGAAGGTACACACCATGTCTAGCAGATCCTGACAGTAAGTTTGTCATTGCATACGGGTTATCTTGCTTTTTATGTCATCTCTTAACTTTGCCTGAATAATATCCTATAGATACTGTATTCCAATGATCATAAGCATCAGCTTTTTATCCTGTATGAGTCACAGCAGCACTGTTGACTGACTGCATTCGTCACTCCTCTGATGAGGAAAGATGTTTGGTTATAGACAAATCTTGCGTTGCATACAGTGTTCAACATCATTTAAACATTATATCCTCCTATAACAAATGTAATTCAGCAAAGGACTGGAGATCAAAACCATTACTTGGCTTTCTTCACATGCATGAAACTGTGGTCATTGCTTCAAAGTCAGCCACTGCCTCAGCTGCCAAAACCACCGAAACTTTCTTAGGTTTTCTGGAATGGAAACAAATTAATATTCCTGGGAGAAGCAGTATACTCATCATATGGATTACTGTTTATCAGCAGGGAGTTATATCTATAATGAATTGCTTGTTTAGAATGCTTACTTAATTTTATATAGATGTAATTTAAAAGGTTTGTTTCATTTGGTTTGCTTCATTCATTCTTAGCCATTTGGGTCATTACTTTTTTACTTACTGGCTTGTCCTGTAAGGAGTGTTGAAACTTTATAAAAGCTTAAGCCATTAACAATTCCACTACTGCAACAGATTTCCTAAAGAATTTCTGTGTCCCTTGGTTCCTCAAAAACATTTATATGAGTCTGGTTCAGTAAATCAATCCACAGTTAAATTGCATCAGTTCTTGAGGATCTGTAATAATTCTGAAGTCTGTAATGTTACTTTTCTCCTGACAGGGACAGTTTAAATACTAAATAACAATAGCTTCCTGCACATGGGTTACCAGTGTGAATGATATGGGGTCCCAAGTACGAAGTTACAAAGGAACAGTCAGTTACACTCACCAGAGGACAAACTGGGCAAGTTTCGGGTGTTTTTCACTGTGCAACTACAATGAATGAATACCAGTATAAAAAAGGGCTATTTCTGTGCAAGTATTTCACAGAGTGTATGCAAGCTTCTTCAGGCTATGCTGGGGAGCTTCAGGTTGGAGATCAGGAAGAATTTCTTCACTGAAAGGCTTGTCAAGCATTGAAACAGATTTACCAGAGAAGTGGTAGAATTACCATTCCTGAAAGTATTCAAGAAATTATGTGACATTTAGTGCCATGCTTCAGTTGATATGGAGGTGTTCAGTCAAAGGTTGGATTCAATGATCTTGAGGGTCTTTTGCAACCCAAATGATTGTATGACTTTTATGATGCTATGTTTGGAGGCAGTTTGATTGCCACTAGGTCTGATCCAACAGCTCTCTCTCATTTGTGTTTTGCTTATTAGCTGAAACTCAGCACTTTTGTAAACAAGTTCCAATTAGTATCTCACTTGTGCCCTGAAACGCTGAGACAGAAACAAAGGTACTCTTCTTACCAAGTACCTCTAGGTGTAGCAGTTAAGAGGGAGCCAAGGCATCTGGCAACAACATTTTCAGAGTACTAGATGGTTTTAAGTCATCATTTAAATGAAGCACAGACACAATTATATTTCAGGAAATAAAGGAAATCTCTATGGGGTGAGAAAAGGTATACAGGTTTCATATGGTAGGGAATGATAAAAAATGTATCTGACAAAAAATGCATCAGCCAATCTACAACTTTCAAGGGACTAATGCTTTGTTAACAGGCAACATGAGTCTTCAAGTTGTAAATAAGAAAAAGAGTTGTGTTCTTTCTGCAGGAAACCACAGATTAATGAATTTGATAACAAGTAAGGTACAAAATAGCTAAAAGTGGCATGAAAGAAATGTACATGATAAGAAAATGCAGATTATGTTTTTCACTCCCTCTCCCTTCCCCTGCCTCCTCCCTAGGTGACTCATACAGCAGTAGCCCCGACAGCACTCCCATGGGCAGCATCGAATCTCTGTCTTCTCACTCCTCAGAGCAGAACAGCACCACCAAGTGCACGCCCTCACAGCCAAGGGAGAAATCGGGAGGGATTCCATGGATTGCCTCTCCTGCTTCTTCTAATGGCCAGAAAAGTTCAGGCCTGTGGACTACAAGTCCAGAATCCTCATCAAAGGAGGATGCAACCAAAACAGATGTGGAATCAGACTGCCAAAGTGTAGCTTCTGTCACTGGAACAGAAAATGCCTCTCCACCAACAGACCTGACCAAAAAGAGTTCCTACAGTCTGTCTGGACTGAAAAGGTCTTCAGCATCTTCCCTTAGATCCATTCCATCAGCTGAAGGTAGTTTCCAAGGTCTTTTATCACACCAGTGTTAACTTATGCATCAAAAACAAGAGCTGGGTCTGAAAGCGAATGATACTCATTAGTATTGTTTCTTTGTTTGCTTGTTTTTAATTTTTGTGGTATGTTGTTTCAGTTTTGAAACTACTTCTGACATATTTCCATTGCTTATAACCTCACAGTTCACACAGCTTAAAAAAAAAGTTTCTCAAATTTAGATCACTCTCTATCCTCCTATGATTCATCTATAATTTGAGTATTATAGAATATATATAGTATAATAGTATTATAGAATAATACTATATATTATGAATATTAGTAATATAGAGGTATTGTGCTTGTATTTTGGCATCTCTATATTATGACAGTTTTTAAAGCATTATTAAGCATTGGTTGGTCTTTGGCATAGGGCAAGAAACAGTTGCAGTTTTCTTCTTGCAGAGCATCCACGGATATGCATGGTCCATTGATAAGTTGCCTGGAAGGACACATGTAGACATAGCTTATATTCATCAAAAGACTTCTTTTGTGTGCTATACTGTCTGTACACATATGGATTTGCTTTATCAAGTTACAGTGGAAATTGTTTAAGGCAAATCATGGTCATTTATTCCTATGTGTATTTTTTTAAACTTCATGAAGCTTTTGTAGATATCAAAATGTTAATTCATAAAAAATATTGTAGCCTGATTTCAGACTGCTTTGATCAGTTGATTTCCTGAGAGCCATTTCCCTGTGAGTTTTTTTCACTTTTATGCAAAGTGCTGCTTTATAAATGTTTCCATTGTCACTTTTTAGTGATTGTACTATCTAGCCATGTAATTGCAATATAATTTTTTATCTTTCTCAATTTTTGTGTCCTTTCCTCATTCTTTTGGTTGATTCTTTTCTCCTGGCCATCTGAAAGATGGTTCTTCTTGCTCTTAGTAAATAGTTTCTCTACCTGTATTGACTCCTAAAAAAAAAACCTCAACAACCACAGCACAACCTTTGCTCTGCACAGTTATACATGTTTGGTAACAACTTCAAATCAGCTTTAATGTTCCCTATAAATTGATGTTTTCTTTAGGTAACAAAAGCTGCAGTGGATCCATACAGAGCTTATCTTCAACAGATACCAAAGATACACTAAAGGCTCCACCAAACCCTGATTTGCCTCCCAAAATGTGCAGGAGATTAAGATTAGATACTGCATCAAGTAATGGCTATCAAAGACCAGGATCTGTGTAAGTCATTAAGGCCCTTTGGAGATTTGTGTTGTTACCGTATTGCCTATTATAAAGTGATTGCAGAAATGTTCCTAAGTAATTGAAAAAGTATGCATGAATACTTGATTTTAATATTCCTCTTTGTTAATTATTTATCTAGTTTTGTTAAATTTGTAAACAAAGGAGATGGGGCAAAGTCCATTTAAGTCAGTTGAAAGACTACCATTGACTTTATTAGACTGGAGACAAGGTAGAAATTCTTCCTAGGAAAATGATTAGTATTACTATCTCTGGTACTTCTGGAATTAATATTTCAAGGAGCAGAAATGCTATTTACTGTCTATGTGGTTATCTCAGAAACACCATCAGATTTTATTTGTGGAAATCTAAAATTGGAGGAAGGAAAAAGAAAACAAAACCAGCCTTCAGCTCCAAAGTGTCTTCAGTTGCTGCATGATAAATGGTTGATTTTTAACAGCTGGGGTTTGGTTTGGTTTTTGTTTAGTTTTATTTCTTAAATGCTGAAAGTAAGATAGTTCTAAGTGATAAAGATTGTGATTTAGCCTGTTGAGATTCGGGTTAATAATGTTTCTCAGTGCTTTCAGAAAACTGAAAAGTCAGATCTCTCCTGATCTGACTTTGACCCAGAATATCTCTGTCCTCATGAACAAGTATTTCCAGATCTGCAGAGCATCAAGTTGTTTTCAAATACTGCACGATATCATTCAGCCTCTCCACTTTGTATCTGGAAGGGATCATTGTCGTTTCACAGACTCCTGTGTCTTACTTAAACAGAGAATTCTGCACAGCTCAGAGTTCCAGCCTGATAGTGATAGACTTTCAGTAAAAGCATTTCCAATATATCTATTGGCCATCCATTAATATAGTTCTAAACACAAGAGGTTGAGGTTTCCATTGGTAACTCAGCATGGCACTGGAGCATGTGGAAGTCTTTTCCCCAGTTAGGTTACACCCTTAAAAATTCTGGTGAATAGGGACGTAAGTGAATAATTTAAAAAAGCAAATTCAAATGTGTCCATGTCTTTAGATGATTAGAAATGAAACTAGTGTGTGTAGTATAAAGCAAGGCTTTGCATTTATTTTCAGAGTGGCTGCAAGAGCACAGTTGTTTGAAAGTGCTGGTTCACTTAAACAGGTTTCTTCAGGACGGTAAGTGCTACAAACTGTTTAACATTCTGTAAAATTCTTTCTGTTTTGCTGGCTTCAGAGATTGAAAGAGAAGTGTTGGAGCTTTTTTCTTTTGGACAACATCATGTGGCATGTGAAATTTTTTTTGGTTTACTAAGCTCATCCTTTCTTCAAAAGAAAGCTAAATTTCACAGAGAACCAGAGCCAGTCTGGTTATTCTGTTTACCTGGGGGAATTGTGAGACAGGCTCAGGTCAGCTGTCTGCTTAAGGGCACAGATACAAGAGAAAATTACCAGGATTTAAATTAGGATGAGGGTGCTGTACTTTCTCCATACAGCTGTTTGTATGGAATGGCTTCAGCAGAGTAGCAAACCTGCTGGTTTATGGTAATTTGCTCGTATAAGCAGGTCTGGAATAACATCTACTTTAGAAACTTTAGGATTAACTTGATCAGGATTTCTGTCTTTACCATCACACCTCCCATGCCTTGGTGTCTGGAGAAACTGTTGACCTTTCTTCTTGATAGTGTGCAGCAGAAAGTATTGGCATTTTCTTCACAATTGTTTGCATTTATTTCATGAATTTGATTCAACTTTATATTAAATGAAATTAGAATGTTCTAGTAAGTGTTTGTCTAGGAAGCAGTATCTTCTATACATTAATATTCCCATTACAATTAATAGACAAAGCATACAAGTAAATAGATGTATGAAAACATCTGTCTTTCTTCTCGCAGTCCCAACTTTTCAAATTCTTTGAGACAGAACAGAGATTTACTCACTGATAAACCCACAATTTACCAGGACTCTTGAGCAATGAAAAAAATATGTCAACCCATGAATCCAGAAGGAGTAGCCAAAAGTAGCACAAATATAAAGGAAGATGCCAACATGCTGAAATGTGTGGCCATGGAATGTGTCTGTCCTCTCTGGCAGATGTAGCAGGGGAGGGAAAAAAGCTCTCCTGCAAAGGCCTACTGATTTTGTGAGAGAAGAAGCTTTCGGGAATCAAGGCTCTTGTTTTGTGTAGTACCATGAACTGTAAGGAACATAACAAAAAGGAGGGTGGCAGAGGAGGAAAGGGATGTGAAAAGATCAGGGCAATAATTTAAGGAAGAAAAGTATAAATGAAGGGTCTGAAATGTTCTTAAGCCAGTGCCCTAAGTTGAAAGCAATGACTGCTTCACCAGTCCTGCAGCATTTCATCTTCAACACTGTTCCTTTTCTTGTTTTGTATTACTTCCATCTTTCAAACTCTCCCTTGTTGTTCCTTTAGAGCCTGTGCCACCTTTATCTGTATATAAAAAGCATGTAAGAAGCAAAAATCTGACAAAGGAAAAAGTAGCAGTTTGGTAATGGATGTGGAGAGGGGATAACAAAGCCAAAAACACTGAAAGGCTGAATAGCTCCTCTACTTCAGCCTTCATAAGAAGGCAGAAGAACAACAGGAGCAAGGAGAATGGAAAATGAGAGGTTAGCAGAGAGAATGTGGAAAAAATCAGAAGTAGCTCAGCTGTTCTTACAGTGCTGCTTAAGTCTGAGTATGATTTTGCAATTCAGAGCCAGCTATTATTCAGCTGCATTTGAAGGCTAAATTCAACATGAAGACTGATTTAAAACTGCAAAATAGCCTTTGCTGTTTTTTGTTTTGGTTTGGTTTTTTTGTTATTTTTGGTTTTTTTTATTCTGAAGTACATAGAAATTATGGTAATTACAACTGATCATTTAGTAGAAAGGCCTTCTGTGTTCATAACTCTGCTAACCAATAAATATATGCAGGGCCAAGTACAAGTCAAGAGAAACTATTTTTAAGCTGCCTGGTTTGGTACCGGAAATACTCAAGTCAAGACACTGTTGGACTATATGCATGGGTAATGTACCCTGTTATGATAAATGTTAAGCTACTGCTTACCTATGCATTATAGAATGTAACTTCAACCCTACTTAAAGCACCTGTTACCTGTTGTGGTCTTTTGCACTGATGGCAGATCAAAAGTACCGATATGGTTTTGCAGTCTCATGTTGTTTTCTGTATTCCAGCAGGTAATTCTGCACTTGATATTTTACTGCCACAGTGGTCTGGTCCTACCTAGTTCCTTCTTATATTCAGTGGTTGCAACCCTGCTTTCTGACTTTGTATGATGCAACATGTCTATAATGAGTTGTGTGTCCTCTTTTTTAATGAGTTATTTGACCTGTTTTCTCTCCTTGCATACGTGAGTATATGCATCTGTAACCCTAAAGGGTTTTTCTAGTCAGAAAGACAAGAGACCACAGTACATATGTTAGGGTTGGACAAAAAAGACCAAAATTTGATGCCCTGTGCAGCCTGTGGTCTCTTTTCCCAGTTACAGGTACTTTGACTTCTGTCTTCTATTTCCTGATTTGAAGTTTATTATTCATCAGTCTCCCTCACTAAGGTATTAAGCTACTGTGTACACTGAGATCAGTCTTTGTGGCAAATCTAGTATGCACTTGAAAGAGGAGAAGGAGCTTTCTTACTATTTTCACAAATGCTGCAGTTTGATAAGTCAGTCAGGACTGAGGTCTGTTTATTTCAACTTCTGTATAGAAATGCACCAACACATCATCTCTGACGCTTCTTATTCTTGACTTTGATTTAGAGGTACACAGGAAGTCAAGTTTCCTGAAGTGAGAAACTGCATTAGAAGATTTTTCATTAAAAAAATGGGAAGGAGTAGGTGGCAGCAAAAGGCTCAACCTTCCAGGAGGATCTCTAGGTGCCAGGCTGGGACTTGAGTAGGAGCAGACTGATATTTTGAAGCCCTCTAGACCCATGCTCCCTTCCCAACCATATGATTAAATATTCTTTTCCAGTCATTCTTCTTTTTTTATTTTCATGCTATATTTTGCATCCTAAACCACCTGGATGCCTTGCTCAGACCAGACCAGCATGTTTTACTCAGGCTTGGTTTTGAATCTTCCATCTCCAGGGCTTTATAAACCTTTCTTCTTCCTGTAGGATAATATTAACTGGTGACTCATCTGAGAGAGATTCATATGTTTTTCCTCGTTCATTCCTCTTCTGGCTTTGTCTTGCTAGACTGAAAAGTCATTAGGGCAGAAGCATAATTTTAAATCTTGTTTATCTTTCAAAATAGTTATTATTGCTATTATTAGAGCCTCAGGTATTGTTGACTGTGGGTAGTCAAGCAAAAGAATTTATGATCTGATGTGTTCTGATGTGACTGCTAGTACATTTATCATTATGGGCTCAAAACAACCATAATAGGAAGTAAGGAAATGGAAAATGCATTTTTCTCATCTGGAATCTACCCAGTAAGGTCATGGAACGAAGGAACTTCTAGGAAATGTGGGTAACATTTTCTGAAGTTGCTTTTTTTTCCTCTGCCCTAAACAACATGAATCACACTATATGTGTCCATCCACTCTCATACCCTTTTAAAGGTTCAAGTGAATGATGATAATGCTTATGATGTGGCACTGTTAATTAGTCTATCACATAACTCTTTTGTCTCACTATTTTGGGAGAAAGACATGATAGATTACATGCCACTTGCATATACACACTCTCAAAAAGTATGCAGAAAATTTTAAACTTTGCCACAGGTCACATATTGGGTCATTGAGATAAATCCTGGCTAGAAGGAAACTTCAGCTGGCAATTCCCCATCATATCATACAAAGGTGAAATAGTCAACAAGTTCATCTTCACTTAATGCAGTGTGGGTTTCAGGAAATTCAGAAAAATTGGTGGCTCATGTGAAGTTGTTCTGAGTGTGTAAGTTAAGGTCAAGGTATTAGGTGAAGTGCAAGAATCTAAAGAGAACTCCGAGTTTCCATCTTCATGTTCAAACCTTCATTTTGTACTTTGTGCAGAATCATACTGCCAGACCCCAAGAGGTGACTTATTCTGTCCTTCTTCTCTAGGACTGAATCATTACTCCATTTTGTCTCATGTTTACTTTCTAAGTATTATTTTCCTCTGTAGACCTATTAACTATAGTTTCTCACAGGTCAAGTTTTTAGACTTCTAATGACTTGATGACCACTTTTGAATTTGTTTCCAGGAAATCCATGGCTTGCTTCAAAAAGTATGCTCATTTCAGTATTTATTTGAATGGCAACTTGATTTTAAAAGTTCCAAATTATATTCCTGTTTAAATATCTAAGTGGGATGTCAGTCTCTTTTCTGCAACAATATGCTTGTTAACTCCATAAGCTTGAAGTTATTATCTACTATAATTCTACTCTTCTGAACTGCTGTTTAACCAGTCATTATCATATAGCATTTGTACATCTCCTTATTCCTATAGTCCCCAGGTTTTAATTTCCTTTATACCTTTTTCCTTGTCATCTCATTTATTGCAAGCCTGTATTTTTTTCTTTCAGACAAGCAAAAGCCATGTATTCCTGTAAGGCTGAGCATAGTCATGAGCTGTCTTTCCCACAGGGGGCAATATTTTCTAATGGTAAGATTTGTTTTACATTGCCTTATGTATTAAAAAATAACCTATTAAAAACTGAGCCGTATCACAAAATGGGGGCGTAATTCCCTTTTTAGCTCTCAGGTTTTGTCCTGATTTTTCAGTTGCTCTTGAATAAATACCATCTAAATAAATGTATGTGGCATGTATGGGGTTTTTAACAGTGTTAAAAATTGTATGTTTTTTTTGCAGTGTATCCATCAGTGGAACCAGGCTGGTTAAAGGCAACTTATGAAGGGAAAACGGGACTAGTTCCTGAGAATTATGTTGTCTTCCTCTAGTAATCTTTAGTGGACAGCAATATCTTCATGGTATCCATGGTAACAAATAATAAGCACTATGATTTTTATCTGACACAGATATGGGATCAGCCCCTTAGCTGAGTGGTAGATTTCCTTCAGATGCTGCAGCTGCAGGTTACAGAGCTCCCTGCCAACGGAACAGAATGTGATGAAACAGTTAACAGTTTCTGTGCTGAGGATGGTACTCGCTTTAAGTAACTTCCATTGTTTGCAAAAGGTTGTTCTGTTCTTCTTTTATGGGTAAGGAACACTAGAGCAATAAAATTTTTTTTAAAAATTGCTATTTAGCTGCAGACTTTCAGGTCCGAGGATGTTGCTCACAGAAATGTGAAATTTAGAGGCAATGCACTCTGACATTTCTTATAATCTATGATTTTTAATATGGAAAATCGTGGACTTTTTCATAATGTAAGTACTGCTTCTATTGTGATCTGAATTCTCCCTTAGAAAACTTGATTCTGAAACTGATCCTAATCATTTCAAATAAGAAATGACTTTACCATAAATCAGAAGTTGTGACTTCTGTTAGTCATTGAGCTACAATATAGTATAGAATTTATACAGCTGATACTATCAGTTTATACACTGCCTGTGCAGCGAGTGCTCATTCAAAATGTGATATGTTTAATGAATGTTTCATTCAAATACTTAGTAGATTTCTTTCGTACTTTCTGTATCAGCATAGATAATATTAACAACTTTTATTTCTATGATAATCATCATCTGGAAAATATTCTCTCTGTGTCCCAGAACATCTGTAGAAAACAAGGAGATGCTGAATCTGGACTGATTGGTAGTCATGTGAAGTGAGCAGTAAAAAAAAACAATATGTTTTGAAACCTGAGATAAATTGTAACTCATTCTTTTTCCATTGAAATTAAGACAAATGACCTGTGAACTAGCCAATTTTATAAGCTATTAATGCTAAAAGCTCAATGTAGCAATTAAATTACTTAGTGTTATTTCTCTGACTTCTGGTAAAAGATTTGACAAAGATTCTCTTTTCATAGAATAAAAAATCCTTACTTTTCAAAGGTGTTGTAAAGATCTATTGATTGCTCCTGGTAGGAGTGAAAACAAAAAAATAAATAAATAAAACCAAGTCGAAGAAAACCCCTGAAACCATAAGTGGCTTTCTCAATCAGAGCAGTTTTCTTGTATACCTTAAGGGAAAACATGCACTGCTTGCTTAGCTACTTACCATTCCTGATTGAAAACTGTGACATTTAACTTCCATCTTAGTATTTCTTCAACACCAGTGCTTCCAAAAGAATTCACTGGTTCATAGAACTATCTAGGCTTAGTTCCATAGATCTGTCAAAGCTCAGTTCTTTCTTCAGTTGCAGAAATCAAAATACAAACCATCTGTTGATTTCCAACTTGTACCCTCCTTGAAGAAAGTTTAAAGAAGAACTGCTGTTTAAGGCTAAAAACATCAGTAATTTTTTACCTGCTGCTTTTTTCTTTCCATAGCCTTTCTCTTGTTTAAATTGAAAAGTAAGATTCATTGCCAACACAAAGAAGCACAACAGAACTTTATTTACTTATATGTAGGGCGTGAATTCTTCAGAGCAATTGCTGGATTTCAGGCCGGTGGCAGAGCCCTGCAGGATCTTCTAATTCAAGTATTGAGTGATGATCAGAGAAAGAGAGAGGCTCGAAGAACATGCTGCCAAAAATGGTCTTTTCATAGGGGGAGTCTGAGCAAGACTGGCTGCAGGCAGTTGATGACAGACCCCATGCATTAGTGACTGAATGCCCTGGGTTTTTTCTTCACCCTAAACAGTTTTATTAATCCCAAAACATGTTTCACTTCATCTTAAATCCAGACTGTGCCCAGTGCATTGTGATGAAGGGTTGTTCCAAATGGCACTGGTAGTGAAGGCAGACAAGGGTGTGCTCATCTAATTTGCCCAGAGCAGAAGTGAAAGGAAGTAAGGTCTTTCCTCAGCCAGTTGAATCTTGCTTCATTTTAAGGCAAACCAAGTTTGCTTAGTCTAACCTATGCCTAAGACTGCCTTTTCCCTGAGAAGACCAACATGATTTTGGTTGTTTTTTTGCTGTATTTCACAATCAAAAAACTATAGGCTGCCAAAAGGTTTGCCTCTGGTGACCTTCCCAGGAGAAATGTTGCTGCAGGCCAAAAGTAGCAGAAAGGGAAGCAGAACTTTGAGCAGGGGCTGGGAGCCCAACGCGTCTCACACAGGCAGAAAAAATGCAGTGGTCAGGGGAAAAAATCCAGGGAAAAAATCCTAGCCTCTGTCTCTTGCATGGGGTCAGTAGCAAACCTGTATTGAACATCCTTTGATGACTCCTCATACTTCTTAAGAGCAATTTAATTGTTGTGAAATTCTTGAGGAATTGTGAAATAGAAAACGTAAAAAATGTTTGCTCTTACTTGCTTTGTTCTAGCCTGATTTAAAAATAAGTGGGAAAAGAAACCCCTAAGCTTAGGTAGTTTCACATCCCTTGTATGTCTCTCACAATTCTCCAGTATTGTGTTTTGAAAGCAGCTGATCTGAGTACAAGCTAGAGAAGTCAAAGATGCTTATTTCATCTTGTAGAAATAAAGAAGTCAAAGATGTTCATTAAAAATTTTGTCAAACTGCCAAATTCAGTTACAGATTAATTAAGTAGAGCCTGTGAAGGCTGAGGGGAAGGTTGTAGAAAGACCTGGAGGAATCCCTGTGGAGGAGAGGTGTTTCATGTGTTCCCACACATTCATCTCACATTAGACCAAAATTGGGATTGGAGAAGACAACTTTATAAGAAACTGGACTCCATTCATGTGCTGCTCACAAAACAAATCTGTATTTTCCTCTCTAATGCTCTGCAGCTTTTTCATGTGTCACAAAACAAATCTGTATTTTCCTCTCTAATGCTCTGCAGTTTTGTCAGGCCCTTTTCCAAACTAGCCATTAATAATTTTCAAGTAATTTACCTTTAAAATGGCATTTCCATCTGAAAAATGTGATGCCTATTCTTACTTACAGTTAGCCACTCACTCTCCAGGAGTAGGGATTTTCATTTTGGGAACTCTGTGCTTTTTCTTGTACTCTCCTCTGCAGCACAAAGTAGCACTTTCTGTATGGTCTCACTGCTGGGTTGTGGGTGCCCCAGCCCTTCCCTGCCTTTCAAGAGGGAGTTTGTCTCTACAAGGAGCTGAACAGTGAACCAGAAAGCAGAGTAAAGTAGGGGTGCAGAGACCGAAGTGGGGTAGGGGGCAGCACCAAAGCTTCTCTAATGATGATACTCTCAGGCCTGACCAAAAATCTTTTCCGACAATAGCAAAGAATCAGAAATCCATATAACATGTAAGTGGAGATATAATGTTTTGATAATGACTTACCAGAAAATTAGGCAATCTGAACTAAATTAGCTCATAGTAGTGATTTACTATTCTTCATGGAAATCAGACTCACTCTACAAGCAAAAGTTAAACACTTTTTAAAATTATTATTAATAATATTATTATTATTACTACTATCCTTCTTAAAAGGATGCAGCAGGTTTGTTCCTAATATCACGTAGAATTCAAGGTAGATGATACATTGTTGTTGTTGTTTGTCTTGTGAAAATAATGTCTGTACCCACAACATATAATTAGGCATGTTTTTTCTTTGTTAAACCTTTTGATACATGTTGCAGCACAACATGAATCAAACTAATAGTGTGAAGGATATATTGTATGATAAATATGTAAAGTATATTAATATTCTATATTCACACTTTTTATTAATGATGATAAAGATTACTTTTTTTGAGTGTAATTCCTGTGAGTTCAGTATTAAAATGTCCTTGCCATGTTTTGGCATTTAGATTTATATGTAATAAAACTGTTAAATTAAACCATCGTTATCACTTATATCCCTAACTAATCTATAATATTCATTGTATAATTATTTCTGGAAAAAAAATGCACAGATTTCCTGACCAGCACTATTCTATGATAGTGATAGTAACTTATTTTCCTTTTATATATTTTCTGGTGCTAATCTCTGTTCTTTGCCTATAATTGGATTGAATTGTAATGTGCCTTTAGGAAAGACATGTTAGGAGAGGAAAAGCTGTACAATTCTACAGTTCAGAGCAGTAATTACAACAACAAAAAAAGCACTGTATGGCAGTAATTGGATTTTTTTTTTGTTAACTTTTCTCCCCTGGCCTATTTTATACTTAATAAGATTGCATCAGAATAAATAATGAAACTAAAAAGCACAATTTTGGCTTGAGCAGCAAGAAGAGAAATCCCAGTTGAGGATCACATCCTCCAGACTGGGATGGGTCTTCTCCGCTGATGGAAACTCTCAATGTTCTAGTGGAGTCAAAGACAGACCTTTGGCAATTTATAGTGAAGTTTTGTTGGCCAGAAGCCCCTAGAAAGGAGATGGAACATTATCCATGATTCTGCTTGGCGTTGTCCTTTCTTTCAGCAGAGAGGCCTGGGTGAATTGTTCAGTGGCCAGAGATCAAAGGCAGAGACAACCTTGGTCTCTCTCTGGCTGGTCTCAGAGGCCTGAAGATGGTGCTGCTGCTGCAGCCCATCCAGCTCCTGCTCCTGCTAAAGTCCACTGTCAGTCAGGCTGTGTCTGTACCTATTGGGAGGTCTCTTCTCTTTTGGTTTAAGATTTTGCATGGGCTTTGGGAGTTTGCTTTGTTTTGATTTAATAAGGTGCTTGGTATCCTAATTCAGTCACTGAGGATCATATTGGTTCTTTAATTGTCCTGTGTGTGGCAGTGTTTAATAAACCATGGGATTATTCTTCTTGTTTTAAGTGTAGAGCACAGTGCTCCAACCCTTGGACGCCTCAGCTGAAAGCTGGTTTGCCTCTGAGCTTTCTTCAAGTGTTTTATTGGGAATTGTCATCAAAGCTCTGGCACTAAAGATAGCACCATAATCTCTGCAAGAGTTTCTCTTGGAGCAAAGGGCAGAACAGCTGAACAGGGCACATGGATAGTTTCAATTTTCAATCATATTTATGGCAATTCTGGAGGTATTAGAGTTTATAGGGGTTACTTTAGATACTATGTGGTATTTTAATAGGAAAATATATACAATCAATAACTATATCTATTTAATAAAGTCTTACTAAATTATCTTATTGAACTCTCTGTTTATTTTGTAGTGTGGTTTCAGTAATTATCTGCACTCTGTATATATTTACATGTAAATAGCTAGCATGACATGCATAAGCTGACTGCAGACATAATTCTATGTTGTACTTTACACTGTATTTCAAAAATTTGAAAAAATGTTTTTCAAAATAAAAATCCTTTATACACAAACTGGTTTTTTATTTGTTTTAAATTTGGGCTCTGGTTCAGCTTTTCTTTTTTCCGAGTAATAACACTTTGTTTCTATTTCTATACATACCTGCATTGTAGAGTATCATTTCAGCCCTGAGGATGCTTTACAGAGATGGACATGTGGATACCAGACAATAGTCTGTCATACACGATCCTGATCACATGGAAGTCTCCAAAGATGTGGCTTTTGAGGGAAAGAAAATGACAGCTTTGGATGTTAGGTGGGAAGAAGCAGAGCCTGGCATGGCAGAATCTTGCTGATGAGGTCTTTGCCTCTGGAATTGAGCAGGTGGATGGGGTCGTGGGAGGGGCTTCTGTGGCTCCATTCCAACAGCACTGCCAGCTGGGGGAAGCAAGGGAGTACAGTGGCCTCTGCAAGTGCCCTTGCATGCCCTCCCCAGGATCTCTCCAAGGCTTTTTGCCTCAGTTTTTACAGCCCACGGGCTGGAGTTACAGCTGTGCCCCAGGCAAAGGGAGCTGTGAGATGGCCTGCCGTGCCTTTTCCCTGGAGGAACTTACCAGAAACTTGGGAGACTTTAATATCCCTGAAGCAATCAAGCTTTGCTATGATATAGACTAAAAAGCCTGTGTTTCATAAACAAGATCAAACCAGCCAGCTGATAAACTCTTCCCTGCTCACTGTGCTTGTGCTTGGCCAGAGCAGAAAACTGCAGGAGGCCAGGGAGGATGGATACTGCTCCTGCATCCATGGCTGCCAGCTGCCAGCTCCTGCCCCGGGCACGCTCAGGCTGCTGTGGCTCCTGCCTGCCAGCCTCCTTCTGTGCAGGCACTGTGCCCACAGCTGTGCCCAGGGGCACATCAGAGACAGACAGAAACAAAACACCAACACCGTGGCTGTAAGTAAAAATGAGACTTGAGAAGCCAAGCAGCACGGACCAGATGGAAAAAGTGTCTTTCCCTTCTGATGCTTTCTAACAACTGCTCCGAGGTGCAGCTTGTATTTCACAGCTCTCCCTGCCTGAGGATTTGAGAGATGTGGACTCTCCTTTCAGGAATCAAAACATCACCTGCAGCCTACAGTCACCAAACTGTCTTGCACCTTGCTGAGATCCTGGTGTCCCAGGCAGGATGGGGCCAGGGACAAGGCAAGGTTCCCCTTGGGACCAAGGGATGCAGTTGAGCTGGCAAAGCCCCTTCTGGCTGTATTAGTTCAGCTGGAAAAACCTGAGAAGTAGAGGGGCTGCAGCAAGGGGTTAGAGCTGAGCTGAAGCTTAGTGCCCTGGCTTTAAGTGTAGAGAACCGCCCGTGAGATATAGTGTGGAGCAATAGCAATGGAAGCTGTCACCATCACTCCCTGCAACACTCCCGGGTGCCATGGGGGCTCTTGGGAAGCAGGGAAGTGCAGGGACAGGTGCTCTGAGGCACCTGCCCTGCCCTGCTGCTCTTTGTGTCTGGCGAGCTGGGCTGTGCCTGTGCCTGTATCAACACTGCCGCAGCTCCCTCTGGCACTTGGGATTGGACTCCCCTCAATGCCTACTGGGGGCCATGAAAGCAGGAGTGGTAGGAGCTGGAAATGCCTCCGATGCCCAGCTCTGCACTGCGAGTAGGCACAAGAGGAAATGGAGAGTATCTGCATTTTGATAGTTCATCAAAAATTACAGTTCATTACTGACTTCATGTTAAAAATCTGAAAAAAAAATTGTATTTTCTGTTGGAGTTTTCTGCTCTTTTCCATGGGGATAAAGGCTTCTCGGCTTTAGTGCTCCTGATCTGCAGGAGTGACTGAATGCACACTACTTTGGAGTCTAGACTAAGCTCTGAAATAGTTCTCATACTCATTTTCAGTGTCCCATTTTACTTGATATCAGGGAATAACTACGATTTTTTTTTAATTTTCTGGGAAACCTGTGTTCTGTCTGACATGCTGTATTTTGACATTTCATTGAACATTTAAATGTAAAAATACTTAAATTGCTGTTGAATCAACACAACTGTGTTGAATTACCACATTAACACCTAATTCAAAACTCTCAAGGAGTGAGACACCTGTGCTTCTTAAAAGAAAGGTGAAGACACATTTCATTACTTGGTTGCATTAAAGCACTTTACAGGACATGACTCTCATGTTTGGAAAAATTAGTATTTTGGGCATCAGTATTGACTATGGAGAAAGTGACATGTGGAATTGCTTTGGTATAGAATGTGTGCTGAGATGAGCCAGGCTGGCCACAGCCTCCTGCCTAAAGAGGAAAAATTTCTGATCCAAGTGATCCAAGGAAACAACATAAGTGTAAACTGAGCAGGTGGCAAAGTCAGTTCAGATCCTGGTTCAGAACATTTTCTCGTTACTTTGGCATGATGCATTCCTTCAATAACACAAGCATTGCTTATTAAACATGGTAAATAAGGTATCTGCACTTTCATGTTTTAAAATTTTATTTCATGTTTGTAAAACTTTTCCCATGTCATTTGGATTAATCGCTGATACAGAAACAAAGTATTGAAAGTATTCTTGGCTTCTTTTGCAATGCTTGGCTTCTTTTCTATTGTATTTATGGCAACAAACTCAAAAGCTGAACTAACCTAGAGTGAGTGCCTTTGCCAAAGATCATGGTGTGCTTTTTTAATGTAAACATGCAGGGATTCATGGGAACACTGAGTGACCTCCACAGCCGGTACAGAAAGGAGTCTTAATTCACTTGAAAGTACTTTGGTAATTGGAATACATCTTTCTGCCAGTATAATTGAGGAACTGATTAGTTAGACCCAGCAATGGATTAGACCCAGCACGGGTGTATTTCATTTAAAATTACTGTTAATGGCTCTTGGGTGCCCTTAAAAGGGATTAGAGTCCCATCTGAATGAAAAACATCAGCGATTTAGTTTTGTTGATAGTCATTGCTTTTGTATTCCTGCACAAAAAAAAAAAAAAAAAAAAAAAAAAGAAAAAAAGAAAAAAAACACAAAAGAAAACATGCAGCACATCTGGATTTGGGGTATTTTCAAAACAAGGTTTGCAATGCTCTGCTTTGGCTACAGCAGCAGGTGAGGGGGCTGAGAGGGTGGGGGCTCAGCCCTGGGTGGGCTTGGGGCAGGTGGGGGTGTGGAAGGAGCCCAACATGTCACAGCACAGCAGAGCTGAGGGCAGGAGCAATGGGCTCCAGCCAAGCTCGTTTGGGGTCTCCATGTTCCAGAGATGACCATACATTCGTGGCAGCCCTGGAGAAACACTGGTGCACAAGTGCACAAGCAGGTGAGACAGCTGCACACTGGGAAGCCCCATGAGAAGCCTTTCAGAGGACAATTCCCAAACTCAGGCAGAAGGGGGATAAGAAACCTGAGCTTGATCTGTAGAGTGTTCCTTCAAATAAATTAACTAGCATACAGGATACAACTGGTTCCTAGAATAGAGGACATGCTGTTTGCAAGAGCCTCGCAAGGGTTAGGGTTTCAGTGCACCTGAGCTGGAAGGCTGAGCACAAAGTGCTGGAAACAGAGACTGTGTAAGCAGTGACAACTGTGAACCCAGGATGCCTCTCAGCAGGGAAAACCCACATTAAGACAAAAACCACACTGGGGGGGCCTGGTGCACCCTCCAGGGACATCTCAATGAATCAGGTAGGTAGCAGAGACCTTTAGGTGCAAACAAATTTTTCTGGGCAGCTGTGATGTAAATATATCCTTACATAAAACTGCATCCTAAATTGTCATTTTAAGTTTGTTATTTCCTGCTGTTTCTCGAGGGACGCTTTTGTTTGGTCCTGTGAAGGGCTGTACTTTTCTGTAATTAGGACAAACTGCCTGCCTTTGATGGAAAAAATGGCTGTTCTGCACAATGTCCTGCTCCCCAGACCTTCCCTGAGAAACCTTCAGTGAATGCCACAGGAGTCTGTCACCATCTTCCAGTTGTGATTTGTAACATTTCCAGATGGGCTCTTCTCTGTGCCCTCCCCATCCTCCTGAAGTTCAGACAACACAAAACAAACCAGCACAGTTTATTTTTATCCTCAGAGCAACATAGAACCAAGTCTGCCCCTGCCAAACCCTTGCCTTAGTATTTTTTTCCTTATCTTTGTTCGAATGATGCCTCAAAATATTTCCTAAATGAACTGGGTGTAAGCATGATCATAATAATGATATCTGTAAGCACATCAGCATGAGAAACTCAGATGAATATTGTGGCTTTTTAGCTAATTAGTTTTCCTGGATAGTTTCTATCCAGAGGGAAAATCAAGACAGAGTGTTTATGATGGTGCTATTTGTGTGAATCTCTCATAAATAGCTCCTCTCCTGAAGGCAGAAGGAACAAGCACAGCTCTTTCCCTGGCACACGTTTAGGTCAGCCTTCCCTGCAGGAACATCTGAGTGAAACAGTGGTAACACCAAACTCAGTGCAGCTCACAGGAGGTGATTTAGGGTACTGGACCTCCTCAGAGCACCAACTCAGCCTTGGCTCAGTTTGGTGCCTTCTCTAGTGCTACAGCACCTTCATTACTGACACAGAGGAAAGCAAATGATGTTTTCATCTGAATTCCCACATGGCAGGATCTCTGACACCACTTATTTCTTTCATTTAGATAATCACAAAATGCCAGCGCTGCCTTCCCTGTGAGCAGACAGTGATTATTGCTTAACTCGTTAGTATAAGAGGAAGCTCACTGTGCTGTGCAGAGATGAGTCAGGCTCAAGAGCATCTGCATCATTATGGAGTCTGAGATGTCACAATAAAAAACCCATCTCATTTAGGGGGACTGTTATCTGCTAAAGGTTAAAGCAAAACCTTCTACCTCAAAGGGTCTAGACATCCTATGTCAAATTATGAGTAATCTTATTTTATTCTTTATACCCTTCTATTACTATGTCTGTTAAAAAGAATAAAACCCCAAACTATCCTTGAGAAAAAGAGGTGGGCATTGAGTCTGCACTGGGACAGAGCAGATATATATATATAGATAAAAAAGATACACAGATCCATACATACATGTGGATATATATATGCACACACAAAGCTATTCCAC